CAGCTGAGGATTTCTAATTCAAACCCTATGGTATTATGCAACAATAAAAGAAAAACGAATTTTTGGTTTGAGACTTGGTATAACAAATATAGATGTTGTAAATCTCACCTCAAAAATATTTTCATAACATGAATAGCATTGGATAATACTAAGTACAAAGTGTTTTTATTTTTCTAATCCAAATGAAGTACCTTTTTGTTCATTTTTGTTGCAAGCTGTAGCTCTACGTTTTATAAATCTGAAAGTAGTGTTTGTACCATCAGCGTTGTCATCACCATAGGACAAGAAAGATTCAGCATTTGCTTCCACAGGTATTTCTTCTTTAGCACTCATATCACCCTGTGGTTTAGGATTCCATTAAGATATTAAGGAAAATGCTGGCTAACAAAAGCCCAAAGAAATATTACGTTTCAAAGAAGCATCCATAAAAAGTGATGAAGAGTCCCCAAAATCAAAGTATTCATTAAATTTTCACAAATATTGATGTCGTGTGATAAAGGGAACATATTCATGTATTGTAAGGCGTGTGACCTACCAAAGGGATGCCTCCAGCTCTCAAAAATGGTGCCGTCTTCCTCTTTCTGTCATTCTGATTTTGAAACGATAACAATAGAGAGAGATAATTCAGAGTAAAAAATGCATGTGAACACCTTCAACCAAGTCAAGAAAAAGTACTAACAAAGAATTTTCCTACAAAGCAAGGGACACAATCAGCGTTACTGCCCAACCTCTAGTAACTGCTGCTGCTGAGGCCAATCATGTTGGTGTTGGTACGCAGCAGTTGGTCTCCATTGGCCAATCATCTGAGTCATCAACAATCCGTTTTCAACAGGAAAAGGATTGTAAACATTTCAAGTAAAACATCTACTGAAAACTACTAACTGTATATTTGAAAATTAGCTTGCACATTAGTTAACAAAATGTTCCTTTTCATAGCTTTTAGTTAATAGCATCAGATAGGTTGAGAAGTACAAAGACAACATGCCAAAAGCATATACTTATTGTATTTGAAGGATTTTTTTGCATGTGATGGTACAACATAATTATTCCATACAGTTTCACATTGCCATTCAAACTGGAATTTATTAGCCACTGTTTCCAGTAACCTTTCCATCCTTCCCCATTAATGCTCTTTTGGCATAACTTCCAGGATCAAACGTCAGTTTTCCATGTGACATCATACCTGACCCAAAACCGGATGCTGATGTTCTGCTGTCAATGTCTGAATCTGCTGCTGATGGTTTGGGGCCTGCAAAGCTGAGTTTAATACCTGGTGAAACAGACCAGGGGAGATATGATCAGCTTCAGATGAAGTATTAAGAATATTGAATCAAAAGATTGAATTAGGGAAGACAGAAATTAAAAACTGCAATGGCATATAACCTAAAAATGAAGCTAAAATAGTTCCAATGGACAAGAACTTATAGACCACTTACTGTTAAGGGCCTTACATGCCTTGTTCCAGGATTGACTACAACCATGCCTGAAAACGTAAACAGAATGAAATCAGGCACCTACATGATATAAATCAAATAACGAATTTATTTTTCTATGATTACGTTTCCACTTTAAAACGTTTTCAATCTTCATGCCCAGTTAAACAGAGCAAAAGTGCCAGATTTGATGACTTTTAAAAAAATTTAAAAAAAAAGAAAAAAAGAGTATCATTGGTGGCAGATCAAATCATAGCAGGAGGTAGTAGATACATGTAGAAGGGAATCATGGTGATCAAGAGAACAATGAAATCCTAAAAGTGTTTATCTTCTTGTCAGTGTAATAACAGCATATACGATAGAGTGGATTGATATCTATTTCACAGTGCTGAACCCCAATAACATTAACAAACCTGCATCCTGAGTTCCAGTTACTGGGAGTGTGGCACTACTCAATCCATAAAGCGTACGGTCCATGCTGATGGTCCTGCCCAAGCTAATGACATTTCTGTTGTCCTCCGCCTGAGTATTTAAAAATTTCAATGCAAACTCAATCAATTTGGGGTTCTTATTAGAGTGGATTGGTAGAGTAGACAAAATTCTCAGTACCTGCTGTTGAGGGTGATTGGGAAATTGTTGCAGCACATGACTGACACAGGAATGGAGAATGTCAGTAAAAGAAGAAAAAAAAGCTCTGGATTTAGACAAAGCCAATCAACAGTAATCATCCATGTCCTCAATCTTTTCCTTCCTCTTCCCACACTTCTTAATTTAAAAATAAAAAACTAAAGAAAAGTTTATCATTTTAATTTATCTATACTTTCTGCTCTCTTCCTTAGCTCTCTCATTTTTCTTCTCTTCTTTCATTTCTCTCTTTTCTTTTATCTGTTTCCCTTTTATCTCTTGACTTAAAAGACAGAAAATTAGAAATCGAAACGTTGTCAAACAGGACATTGGTATGGAGGAGGACCCAAATGTTCAAATGAACTGTACAAATGAGTTCAAAATCAGATATGCCTCTGTTATAAAGTAATGCAGAGTTGAAAACATATTAATGAATACCTTGAATTGATTGTAACTGGCTTTGAGACATTCAATTTATTGACATCAACTGGATGTAAACTGGGGTAAAAATCTCCAGTAGACTGCCTTCTTGAACTAGTACCCTTATCAAATTGTGGAGGCCTCTGTTTGTTTGTTGCTATGTGTGTCACTCTTGGACGTTTATTTTGTCCTTCATTCTCTCTCGTTTGCATAGCCTGAAAATAAAATTAAAAATAGGTCTATAAATAAAAGGACGCACCATCTGAAAAACAAAAACCTGGCAAAGCAGTTCAGCAAATAACCACCTTAACTAGAGATGCTTCTGCCTTCGCCTCTTGATGCTTCAATTCCCCGGCGGCATATACATCGTGAAATAAAGACCACCATTCATGTAAGAATCCGTCGGGAGTATTAATGACTGAAAACATAAAGGAGCCTCCCAGTTATAATTTTTAACAGTAATCATAAACCAAACAATAAACATCTATAAACATAAAAGAAGTCAAGACCATAATGGAGCCTCCCAGAACTATAAACATCTACCCATAATCCAAAAGATCAATAAGTATCATAAAGTTTAGAAGTCAAGACCATTCAACATAGTGGAAGAGCATAATTTAATAACAAAATTCTGAGGTTTCATTCTATGCAAAAACCAAACAATTGTGAGACTAGATATATGCAACAATTTTCCTCGATTTTCTCTTTCTTAAAAGAATGTAGGCTCACCAATATAACCAACCAAATTGAGATAGCAACTCTCTAGCTACACACATCAAGATTTCATTTTCAATTCCAACAGTACATTCATTCAATGGAAACTAATAAGCGTAAAGCAGAGGCATTTGATCAGCGAAAGTACTACCAACAGGGGTGCCGCAGACATTAGCCTCCTTCCTGAAAGCTGCAGCAGTCTTGTGCATATTCTTTTTCACCATATAATCATGCAAATATAGATCAAGCCTATAACCCTCAAATCAAATACACACAGATTACGAATTAAAAACCAAAAGAAAGGAAACGAAACGAAACCCATATATATAATATTATTTCAAAGTGAAGACAAGTAAGCACTGAGAGAAAATATACTCACATCTTTTCAGCATCCCAGTGCTGACCTGAACCCATGATCACCTCCCAAAACGACCTTCACTTCTTACCACCCTCCAAAAAGGAACTGCACAAACACGAAAAACTTTAAGTTACCGCAAAACACATAACACAGAGATAGAAAACAATCAAAGAGGAATTCCAAGGTGGAAATCAATGAGTATGAGCAATTACAGTAAAATAAAGCCAGTTGGGTTTAAAGGAGGAAGAAGAAGAAGAGGAAACGGACAGATAGAGAGAGAAAGAGAGCACCTTGAGTGAGCTAAGAAAGGTGTAACAGCGCCATGCAAAAAGGGTACCCAAAGAAAAGGGACAAACAACAAATTTGGTTTTTTCTAGAGAGAGAGAGAGAAAAAACGAGAGCTTTTGGTGACTCTCTGACTCGCGAGGTTTTATGTACACAATGCAATGGACCTTCGCTCCCGTTTTACACTCTGAGTTGTCACCTGTCCTGCCCTGCCCCCAATAGTCTCAACCCACCGCGCTTCTCCCCAACTCACTAATTTTGCCACCAAATCTACACCGTTGAAACAAGTTATAATTTCTACTCGATACCACGGTGTGACGGTCACATCTTAAAATTTCTCTCCGTAGTGATGCAATGACGAAACTTGTTGATGACATGTTCATGATGATCAAGTGTTGCATTTTAGAAATTTTAAGTTCGAATCTCGAGAACGATAATTATTAAATAAATAAATATTTTTAAAAAGCTCCATAGTCGTTTGAGGTATGTATGTCCTTTAGTGGTATATGCAACGTTTTGCCTAATTTGAAAATTGAATTGTAGGCCACAGATGACAGTTGAATTGTAAGTTGGATCCCATTCAGGATCAAATTTGACCAACCTAAATGAATCATAATTAAACATGGTTACCATAATTAATTGCCGACAGGGGCGAGAAATAGATGAAAGTCCAACATTTAACTTTGCCTCTATCAGACATTAATGGCAGTTCATGTTTGCCTACCAGTAGTTAATTCGATGGTAGTTAGGTTAGGTCTCCCTCTTTTTATATTAACATGGAAAATGTTTTAAGGTCATTTTTGGTATCTATCGCACACTCACGTTCAATCGAGAGCACTGCATATGGTGTCTTTTATTTTTAAATCGAGAATAAACCCTCTAATTCTACTCTGCACTCTCAAGCAACTCCGAAGTTGGTGTACACCGAAGAGGAAAGAAGGCAAGGTCCGATTACGCGAAGTCTTTTCCTTCCCTCCATGAAAGGAATACAAATGTAGTCACGTTTTCATCTTACAGAAGGAAGAAATTGCAAGGAGCATAATACACCCAATGGCAATGATGACACAAATGGAGAAGCTACGCTAGGCATCTTTTTATCTTTAAAAAAGGGAAGAAAAAAAAAACAATAAGGAAAAGGAGAAGCATCCTAAGAGAGGAACAAAGGAAAAAGCAAAGGCTCCATGTATATAAAGATCTCCAAACAATATGATTCCCACAACATCAAATCAAAGAGATGAAGTTCTTGCTTCAGTTCCCGTGTTGCTCGTGCTTCTGCTTCATCAAGCCCAAAAAGAACAAACACAAGCAGAAAGAGGTCAAGAGTAACTGAAAGATGGAATTCCTCTGGGCAATATTCTCATCAAACAGCGCAGAACTACTGCAATCTGCTTGCCGTTTTGACAACCTTTGTCTTCTCATTCCTCTTGGAAGGATTGTATCACAAATGTAATTGTCTTTACATGAACTATAAGTTGCCCTTTTAAAGGGATTTCTCCTCAGTTTTCTTCACGCCTTCTTTACTCACCTCTTGACCATCTGGCGCTAAGCCCATCTCCCGAATTTGATGTTCAACAGAAACCAAACCAGTCTGTGCAAGAAACCTGCAGCGTAAAATCAATCCATAAGTCATCAATGAGCCTTGAAATAATCAATTCCATATAGTCACGATGAAATGAATTTGAAATAAAATGACAAAATCAAACATGCCTCAAACAACTTAGCTTGAACTACTTGGGTTTATTTTCCATCTCTTTCTTCTTCAAAACCCACAAATGAGAAATAACGAATTCCAGATAGTCGTGAAAGTTTTATCTTCCATACTCATGATTTTTCAAATAAAATGAAAAAAAATCAAGCATCCCTCGAACAACTTAGCTCAAACTAGTCAAGATGAAAGAAGGCATGCCAGTGTCTACCATATATTAGCACCTCAGAAACACAACTTGATAAAACTCAAGACTCATCAGCTGTCTAAAATTGCGTAATTAGAGCTTGCCATCATCATCTAAATTGCTTAAATGATTTAGGTTGACTCATAAATAGAGTGGACCACCCAATATTGCCATATGAACCTCTAGCACTTAAAAAGGTCTTTTTCTGCAAAGAGTTTAAAGATTTCAACACATACAGTGCATGCTCCTCATCCCTTATGTGAACAATGGCCAACATAAGATGGTAAACTTTCAAAGCTCAATATATCTCCATCTTTCAAACTATAGTCAAACCAAAAAATAGAATAATGTCTGCAAGATATATCAGTGTGCTGGCTTGAATGGGGTTCCATTATTGTAACAACAAATAACAATGTTCTAATACCCTTACCTTTTCCCCTGACTCCATTTGGATACATGCGTAACAACCATCCATAGTTCACATCCACATCAGCACATGCTCCTAAAATTTAATCTAGTCATCCCAAACCACCCTCATGACAATCTTACAGTCAATTCTATTAGAATCATTGGAAATTAAGGGCCTGGCTCAAGTATACAAATGGTTGGACAAGATAAAACCTACTCCATAGACAATATTTCATCCACAGTTTTACACAATGCAAAGTCTTGCTGATCTAACAACAACGATACAACATATCTGTCTTCATTATATTTTACAAAACACATAATCATGGACAGACAATACGTAGGGGTATTCAGCCCTATAAAATAGAGGTGAGATTTAGTTAACTGATGTTACATGTGTAATGCCTACAGAGATGAGAGAGTGTCTACATGTATCAAACAAGTTATCCCCTTTAGTGTACTAGAATTTATAACCAAATAACTCAAAGGCAATACTAACTTATGCATCAGACCAAGGAAGGCAATCTAGTAATAACACAACAAGGTACCACTATTATTCACGGCTGAAGAATTAAAAATGCACATTCATTTTTTGGAGTACTCACTAAGTAACTTGATTTTTTCAAACATGAGCATAGCAGCACAAGTCATTAAACACAAAGATTAAGTTGCAAAATGAGCCATTTGCATACGTAGCTTTCTTCTTTACAAAAAATTATCAACACATACTCATGCCATTACACACCCAATAACAGCAGAGGGAAGAAATTAACACTAAAAAAGAGACTTTGATCCAGAAAAGAAAAGAAGTTTCAATTTTCAGAGCAACCACAATAACCCATATCCAGATTGACCAAACTGAAAACCTTAAAAGGAAAAGGAATTGTGGGTATCAGAGAGAAGAATAAGCGTACCAGCTAAGAAGCAAGAAGAGGGTCATAGTGATAAGAACTAGGAACGCAACATGAAGTACCAACCAAGAGTCACTGGAAGAGAATGCCAAGCCCAGCATCACAGCAAGGCACAGACCCAACATCACAAACGCAAATCTTAGCGTTGTCCATGTGGGAGCCTGAACCAAATTCAATCAGCAAAAGCAAAATTTACCCTTTTTCATAAGATTTTGCTCAGAATCATATAAATACAGAAACATACATAAAGAATCGGAAATTAGGCGTACGTTAACACCGGGAGCTAAAGCTCCGAGAAAGACTGCATTTGCCGATGATATTTGCTCTCCTTCCGATTGTTTTTTTGCCATCGTATCTCGCTTTGGATCTGAAACTAGCGAGCGAAGCCTAAGAGGATCTGAGTCCAGGGGAGTTGTGTGAGAAGTTGGAAAAGTTGGAAGTCAATTCCAATCCGGCGGGAAAAGAAGGAAAGGTTTTCTCTTGGTCCGGATTTTGTCTGCTTGGATGGAATGGAACGGTTTATTTCCCTGAAAATTTTTAAGAGACGTATTTTTTAATTTTAAATATTTATTTCTCCTAAATTTTTAAGAGATATACAATTTCAGAACTTTTTTCACCGTATTATTAATACAAATATAAAAAATTAAAAAATTATATAAAATGTTATGTTAACTTTTTGGGGAATGCTATCAACCTTCTCTCTAACCTTCTCTTTTTGACCTTCTCTTTTTTTTGCTTGACATGTGTCATTCTCCTTACATTTAAAACAATGTCATTAATATATTATACATGCTAACTTTTGCTTTCCAAGTTTACCCTTATTAAATCTATTCAATTTATCCAAAAAAATTTCACAACTTTCTTACCATCTCATTAATTTTTTTTAACATCAATTTTTTTTATTATAAATGTCTGCTTTTCTTAAAAAGAGGAAATGTCCCCCTTTTTTTTTTTGTAAACACAAAGGGTTTAGATAGAAAAAAAAGGTCTAAACTTGACATTAAAAAAATGGACATTTGCTCTTTTTTTTTTAAAAACAGACATTTTCTTTATAAAAAAATAATTGACATTAAAAAAAAAATTAATAGGATGGTAAGAAAGTTGTGAAATTTTTGTAGATAAATTGAATACATTTAATAAGGGTAAACTTGTAAAGCAAAAGTTAGCTTGTATAATATATTAATGACATTGTTTTAAGTGTAAGGAGAATGACAAATGTCAAGCAAAAAAGGGAGAAGGTCCAAAGGAGGTTAGAGAGAAGGTTGCTAGCATTTCTCTCAGTTTTTTATAGTAAAATTTTACTTTTATTATTTTATCTATATTAATCAAGTTATCTTTTTTTAGATGTCTAATTAATAAAGGATATTTCTTAGTATTTTGAAAATTACCCTAAATTCTTTGGGGAAAAAAAAAAGTTTCCCTAAATTATGCCTTTGTCTTTAATTATATATATAATAGTATGTCTTTTTATTCTTTGTCTTCATTTTTCTCCTTGTTTTTGTGCGTTTAGGGTTTCAAATTTGGAAGACTCCGTCAACGATGGGTGAATCAGTGAAGGATATACAATTCAAAGAGCTTGATAGCGTGGTCCAGCCCTCGAGGTGTAAGGCCTCGAAGCACATTGACAAGGTCTTTGGCCACTTTTCATCTATAACTGGGTTTTGATGCTGACTGGTTTTCAATAAGCATGCTTTTCATGAAAGGAACCCCTGAGGAGCCCAAATGTAAATTTAGCAGAATGGCTGTTAACATTTTGAAGGAAGAGGAGGTTGAATTTGGAAATTTTGATGTTCTTATAGACAATGAAGTCATGGAGGGGATACAAAAGTATTCTAATTGGACATATTTACCGCATATCTACTTCGAAGGGAGGGCTCGTGGTTTCTATCACATAGGAACTTCAATGAAAGCTATCCCAAGTGATAGTGATGATGATTTTGCATAGATTACACAATAGAAAAGTTGCACAATAGAGAGTACTGAACTTTTGCGAAATATGATTACAAATTTATTTTTCTTTTTATTTTATTATTTTATGTATTTTGATTTTATTTATTTGACTATTATTTTATTCAAAATTACAATTATTTATGGAAAATAGATGAAATTTCGAAAAACTTAACAACAAGGGCTAAATTGGCCAATTTAATTAATTTAGCTGTTAAATTAGCTGACCTTTTAGATTGGGGTGTTAAATTCAATTGGGGTCCTACTACTTGGTGGGGTGTACGACAATTTACTCTAATAATTTCCCCATTTTTTCTGATATTATAAAATTATTTTATCATATGCTAGACATTGGAAAGATATACATACATTATACATAGAGTACTGTCCAAAGCAATAACTTTCATTTTAATACCATTCAGAGCGTGGAAAATTAAGCTGATTAATTTGCCAGCACCAACTTCAGACAAAAGGAACGAACTTGTCAGTAGATCCAGCGATAAGGTTAGTAACACTTCCAGGCATTTAAGAAGTTAACCCCAAGCAGGATTTTATGTGTTTTCTGATGCATCAATGGTGTACGCTCCAATCTTCTTTGACAGTAAAGGCGTCTTATAAAGGGCTATCCAAGTATTTGACGATTCGATTGCATTGAGAACTGGAGGAGCAATTGTAAAGTCATTTTATGGTGCACATAAAAGGATTTGGGGTCAATATCTATTTCCGAAAAAGAAAGTTATGGTTTAAGGTTTTAGGGCAAATATTACCTTCGTTATTTAAATTCAAACTATATATGAATATGATGGTGCACATAATTAACAATGGTCATTCATGCCTAGTTGCTTAGCAAGTCTTTCAATTAAAATACAGTATAGTATACTAACCCCATAAGAGAAGAACAAAATGTTGAGATAAAAACCACCTTTTACTTGAGACATTTTCTAAGTAGATGAATTCTCACATCTTCAAGCATAAGAATATAGTAGACCATGTGCTACAAATTGCAATTCATTTACGATAAAAACAATACACGATATAGACATCAAAATGATAGGATGCATGACATTTATGGCAAACGACATAAAAGAGCACTCCTTTCTCTTTTGCTTCAATTCTAGAGTACAATTAACTCTCAATTCTCTACTCTTTCAAAGAGCGAATCTCGACAGAAAAAGAACTAGTATAAATGTCGTAAGTAAAACCACAATTTGCATCACGTTTTGAGCACTCAAATTCCAGGTGTTCACCTTCCTTCCCACACATTGAACAATCCTTGAGAAATGCACGTCCTAGGCTTGTGCCACAATCACAACGTGTCTCTAAAAAGGCAGCCACATACAAGACATGCAACCGCACAACTCTCGCCAACAATTGCGTCCTTTGGGACTTTATACTTGCAACAACATTGCTTTGTTAGGTGCTTATTCACCTTTAAACAATACTTACATTCACTTGTGTGTACAATTTGTAAATCCATTGTTAAATACAACAAAAGCAATAAAATTAATTATTTTTTAAAGACAACGAATGAATGAAGATGATAAAACCCAAAAATCAGTATTGTGAGCATATTACATAGAATAACAACAAATACATAGATATTATGTAAATAGAGAAGCTGCATGCACTTTTTTTTTTTTGGTGTCCCTAAAATCAAAAGCATACCAATAAGATTAGGAGGGAGGAGAAGGAGGATATTGCTTACCAATAATATAGTTAAACAATCGTTTGTACTAAAAAAAAATTCAAAAGCATACCAATAAAACATTCTTCATCCTTTGATTCTTCAGTCTCTAATTCATCAAACTTGCTCTCTATTTCCATGCAATTACATTGTTAAATACAAAAAAAAAAAAAGAAAAAAAAAAGGAGTGATGATGTCAAAGAAGTTAGAAGGAATAACATCTATGATATGATCCCATCAACAAATAACTATATTATTAAATATAGATTATATATACATCATGCAAACACCAAAATAACTTGGCTGGAGAAGTTATCTTTTTAACATATGAGCTATTTTCAACATTAAAAAGAATAACAACAAATTCATAGATATTATGTCATAAAATAGAAAGCTCTTGTCTCTAAAATAAAGAGCATACCAATAGAATTGGTTAGACTATCGCTTGTATTCACACACAAAAAATTAACAAAAGCATACCAGTAGGTTTATGAGGGCCCTCAAACAGATAAAAATAAGTACGAACTTATTCTTCCGTTAGTTCTGATAGTTTTGTAGTCTCTAGTTTAGTCTTTGGTTCTTCAACCTTGCTATCTGTTTGCATGCAATTACATTGTAAAAGAAAAACGAAAAGCATATTTACATACCAATTATTGGCGTATCGCAGTTGAGGGGAAACATAGCTGGCGAGAAAAGGTCCTTTCCACCGCCGTCCTTATTGAGCACCTCCGACTGGGAATCCAATTTCAGGCACTCCAAAGATGAGACGTTGTCCATGGCTGTGTAGAGTAGAGTTTGGTGCTCTGCGGTTGTGAGAGAAAAAACGACGGGCGGTTTGGGTGTATTGTGAGAGAGAAAGAACTTGATTTTTTTATTATAAAAAAAAAAAGAATGCGGTTTTTCCAAATAAATGAATATTTTGATGATTTTGATTCCCAAATGAAGGAAGTTAATTAATATGGTTTTTCCTTCGTTTTATTACGTTTCCTTTTGCTTTTCAAGCTTGCGCTAATACTTCCAATCCAATTCTTTTCCTTTCTTTCCATCTCCTCTCCTCCTTGGACTCCTTTTTTTTCTTGTGATATGAGCGTTGGTTGCAATAGCGGTCTTGATGGATTACATGATGGTCGTCAGTCAATAGCAATTAAGAATCCAAGTCATAAAACTGATAGCCCCTTAGAAGGTGTTTGATCTCTCCTGATCATTGTTGATAAGTTCATCCCACCGTTTCCGAGCAATGAGCTTCCTTTACATATGCGTCTACCATATTGAGACGATACAACATATTGCATATTGCATATTGCATTTTCCAGAAATTCATTTCATAAAATTGTGAACAGCATGATTTCACAACTTCATCCCCTTACAGTATATATTATAAATTATAATACAATAGCGCTTAAGCGCTAATTAGTTAACAAGTTAATATACAAATGCATATATCATGCGTATGAAAATCTCAGTTGTTCATATAAGTAGGACCTCTGCCAGTAGGATCCAGCTGCAGTTGCCTTTCCATCTCCTTAAGGTACTGCAGAAGAGGCCTCTGCTCATTTTTTAGGTCTTTCACAGCACCACAACCGTAGGGGCTTGTCCTCTGGTAACCAGGAACAAGCTTCTCCCTTCTTTGCCCATCTGCATCACCATAATCTGGAGGAAAAGCCGGACGCAATGTAGGGTTGTTCGTGTGCATTGCTGGATTAGAAGCCGCATGATTTCCCCAACGGTTGATATGATGAAACCTGTAAGTATCGTAATCATACAAGTTTCCAGGGTTGGCAGGAGGATGAAGAGAATTTGGCCATGCATGATGGCCAAGGTTGAGACTTTCTCTGTACTGACGGAGCCATTCTGATGAAGTCATTCGATGCCAAGGTGGGTATTTATCCATGAAGCCTGGAGTGCTGGGACTATAATTTGGTGGCCCTTGAGTTGCAGTCCATTTTGGATAGCTGCCTATGGGCGAATGTGATGCATCACAGACATTATCTGTCATGCTAATCCCCCCAGAGCTTTCGCAGTTGATAAAACTAGATTGAATTCCACCATTAAACCAGTCAGCATCATCTGGCAATAGAGGGGCAGAAGGCACAGGAGCTGTATAAGTAGATGAAGAGGGTTGGATGCTTGCAAATCCATTTTCACTGATGGACAGACCATCCAAAGATTCTGATGCTATTTCCTCAATAGGGCTCAACCTTGAGCCATGTTTCCCACTACCACTTGTGCTTTTCTCCCTATTGTTGCTCATATTTCCTCCATCAAGGACCCAAGCACTAAGCGAGGGAGGCCCAGCGGCGATTGGAGTTTCCAAAAATGGCTGTGCAACTCTATCCTGTACACGAGGCTCCTGCTGGCTGCGCGTAAAATTAGTTATGTCGGCATGAAAAGATAAAGGATCAATCTGAGCCTGGTTTTGAGCGATAAGAAGTGACGTAGCACGGCGCAAGCATTCATCAGAAGGTACACTATGATCCCCCATACCTTTTGTAGGGGTTGGATCATTTAAAGCAGAGGAAATCTTGAGTGGTGCTGAATTATGTCTCGTAAGAGGCCTGAAGAGAATAACTTCTTCATCTTCGATAGTAACAGATTTTCCATTAGAACTTGAATTGTCCCCAGCAATCATCTGTTTCTCACTTTCTTCTGGTGCTTCATGAATAGGCTGACTAGGCACTTTCTGATTAACATCAGAGTTGTTGGACTCCAATCTTTCTAGTTCTGGATATTCTTTTGACTCTGCCCTATAGACTTTGCTAAATTCTCTTCCAGATTTGTCATAAACAATCCACTTTTGAGAACCAATTGATTTGTCTGCAATTTTAATTGCAGCATTGATGATGCGCTGAGCACGACAATCAATTGCAGTGTCAAATTTGTCTATATATACCCAATGAGATGAGAAATCTAGTGATGCATGTGCACAAGCTACCGGTGCAAACCCCCTCAGCTCATAGTCTTCCCACAGAGGAGTAACTTCTGCATACTTGGCCTCATCCTCATTGACGTTAAATCGCTTTAGAAGATCAACAAATGCACCGAAAAAGTAAGACATAGCACTTCTGCTTTTTTCATCAACCCCATGCATTTCTGCCCCATCAAGCATAATGACCAACCACTCCACAAAAACAAGCACAGCTGGTAGAAGGGGGCAAGTCTCTGTTGCACCATCCTTCAAACTTCTTTCAACAAAGCGTCCCATGAAAATGAATGTTGCAGTCAATGCCCATTGTGTCAGCTCTTTCTGCTGCACATCATTTTTGTCTCTTGATTCTTTTATTTCTGCGGTCTTAATCAGATTCTGTATGGTAAAGATTAGTACAGAAACAACTTGGAGTGCTCGGAAGGGGCCTTTTCTAACTGAATCCATATGCTGGTATGACTCCAATGTGACTTTTAATTTTGTATCATCAAGTGCCATCAATGCCTCCAACTCTCCCATAGTAGATGCAAAAGCACAAGGAAATTCGTCCTCACTGCTCCAATAAACAAATGCAGCAGAAAACGTCAGAACTTAAGCAACAAAGAGTGTGATATTTAAATAAGAATTGGTAACACAAGCATACATCAAAATGCAAAGGAATTCAATGAGACAACATTAGATGGGCTTGATTACATTCTTCATCATAACACCAGTTCCCTCAAGCAATGTGAAGCAAGTTGATAACCTAAGTATAACAATCAAAGCTCAACTGCATATATTCAGAGGATTTTATATATTTTACAGTGCAACACCCTTTTACAATTACCAATTGCCTTAACTTTAATGTCAGCTCAATCGTTTGATATCATACAAGAAAATATGTAAACAATATTTGGGCGAAAGGAACTAGAGACGGAACAGAGGGGGACCTAAACAGAAAGGTGAAAGACTGATTTCTCTAACACCTTAGGGTTCAAAATCCAAAGTACCAACACGCATGTGGTTCTTTGCAACTTGAAAGCAAATTGCCTGCCCCATTAGATGGTTTAGCTGCTAAGGACTGAGCACAAGCATAGAAGTAAATGACAAGAATAATAACCACAAATTGAGGAGAATCACAACAGAAATTAAGATGCACCACCCAAAACCAACAGTAAAATGACAAAGTGGTAAATGAAATTGAATACAATCCAGGACAAGTGAGCACCTTGATTTTATGTGAAAGAAACTTAATGTTCCAATAATAAGAGACCATAACTTTGTATCCGTATAGCAATTATGTTCAGCTTTCAGCATATTATGATTGCTTGACTTTGAAATAGTCTGAAGAATGCTTCTTTCAGATGGATTTAAGAAATCAAAGTGGGACTCACTTGAAAGAGAATATAAATGAGATGACCTGCTCTGCAAGATATAAGAAGCAAATGAGAACTGCCAAAATATGAATATCAAAAGGTGTTACGAAATTAATGACTAAAACAATAGCGGTTCTTGTAATATTTCTGGTCTTACCCTTTCAAACAGTAGGATAAGGTTACCCTGGGCATCAGGGAAAGGTTCTTTAACAGCTAAACTTCTTATGCAGTGGTACAAAGCGAGGAATTCATCACCAATATATATTGCCAATACAGCTAACTGCAAACAAACCCACATGTAACTTCCAAATTAGAAATGTTTAAAATAAGTTAATTCAAACATGCAAACATCATAAAGCAATTTAGTTCTCTGCGTAAGCAAACTCTTCTGAGAATAAATAGTTTAATGAGGAAAAAGTTATGAATGAACCTGATTGTGTGGGTTTCCGCTATCTGGCCAAATTACTGTTGCTTCCAAATAGTTGGTGGCTGCAACTGACCAATTTCGGTTTTGAGCATCAGGTTTTTCATATTGTTCTTTGTATCTAGCAAGATCCCCAACACATACCAAAAACCGATGGCACAAAAATTGGCATTTCTGCATCTTCTTCTGTTCTGCAAACGTAAGGAACACAGACTCTTCTGGGAGCCTGTTACGTTTTCTAATTTTCACAATCAAATTTTGGTAGAATTCAATTGCTTCTGATAGAAAGAGTTTAAATCCTTCTACATGATTATCATTTTGTGGCACTGCCAATTTTTTGCTTTCTGCATTAACAAAACTTCCCTTTATTCTTTTACGAAACTCATCAATACGCTTATAGTGAAGCTTCCACAAAGAATACTCGATGTCCTGAAGTTCCAACTGGTCACGATCACTCAGTATGAGATTCTCATAAGTAGATCGCACCTTGCGGTACAAGTCCTTAACCTCAGAGTGCAATAGACCTTTGGAATGGATCAGTGACCACAACTGATTTTCTGTGTTTGCAACCTGAAAGAACCACAATTTCAAGACTCACAGAGAAAAACAACACAAGAGTCTTCTGCATAAAGTGAAAGTATTTAGTAGTAGCAGATGTAGGTGCAGAAAATTACCTCAATCAAAAACTTTTGCTTTTCTCTCTGATCTTTGAGGGGAAAAGATGAATTAGCCGTCATGTTTAAAAGGAAAAAACTTCTTCAAGTGCGAACTGCAATATGCTTATGGCGTAACACACCTGTTGGTGGAAATCACAAATTAGTACACTTCGCAGTTGAAAAAACCAACACAAAAATGGTCACCAAAGTGATGTCATGAATTTTAGTTGCAGCACATCCTGGATAATTGGGTAAGGACTCACTCAAATTAGTGCAATATACAAGCAAGCAAGTGAATGACATCTAAGAAGTGCCAAAACTCCCTTCACAAGTATGAGGAGCATTTGCCACAGGCAATACCGGATCACGATGAAAATTGCATTTTAACAATATATTGAGCATAATTGGACAACTTAAGGTGGGAACAAAACATCCTATTGCAAAGAAATTGAGGGAGGGAATATATTCCTAATTTGATAAGCAGTTAAAGTTCAAGCTCAAATCCACCAAATTTGTCAAAGATCATTTGGAAAAAGAAGAAAGAAAGAAAGTAGACCTGCTATATTGACTTTTAGCCCCCCAGAAGATAATGATCATCAAGTATCAACCCACCAATGAATGCCAAAGTTTGGAAGTCTAAAGCATAGACTAACTGGCCAAAAAGCAAGAATTGTTCAAACCTAAACTCTACCCTTAAGTCTTTAGCTATGTGAAATTGGTCAATTAAGTACTGATCATGTTCTCAGCTACCCAAATCAAAATTCAGAAAGAATTAAATGATTATAACCGATATGTAAAAAAAAATAATAATAATAACAACAGAGAAAACCCACATACATTGAAAATCAGAAGAAGCCATCTTATCAGAGCAGAGAACAGCAAATGTAAACAAAATTACAACAACAACATTCGAAGAACCCAAATCAAATTCAGCAAAACAAACATCAAGAAACAAGTTTTCATCTTTAAAGATTGAAAAGACAGAGAATTGCACCAGAAAGCGAAGAGCAAAGTCCTCCTGAGAACATAAAGGGACAAACTAGAATTAACAGTAACTCAGCAGCCAACGTTTGAGTCTTTCTCTGAATCAGATGCAAAACGAGCCAAGCAGACACACACATGGAAGAGAGAGAGAGAGAGAGAGAGAGAGAGAGAGAGAGCTAAAAGAAGAGATGGGCACCTGTAAACAGGTTAGGCTACAGTTTCAGTTGTGAAACAGACAAAGTAAAAGGTGCTGATGATGATGATGAGACTAGGAACAAGGCTGCTTTCCGGTGTCTGCTATCTGCTATCTTACCCATTCAAAAAATTTATTCCATTTTTCAATTCCTTTAGTCTTTGTTTCTTATAAAATAATAAGGTAATAAAACCTTAGAAAATGGAGAATAAATGAAAGTGGCTTATCATCATGTGACTCATGTCCCTCATCAAATCTTGTCCTGGGATTAACATAGAGAGGGATCACTTGTAGTTCAAGCTAAGCTTAGGATTATAATATGCTAAATTAGAAAACACCACCTTAGGCTTGGCAACTTATTAGCCTGGTTTATGTGGCAGCTGGTGGGTATTATCTGTGTGATGAGGCCACCATCAATATACTTAATGCTCTAATTCTCATAGAACATACCAAAAATAATAAATGGAAAGTAACACTTTTTTTTCTTTCCATACATTATTTGGATTTGACTCATTTGAGTATTGGCTAACCGCACACGTGTGCTTATCTAAATGGATGTGGTGTCCCTGTAGGTAGTTGAGGTTGGACTGTCCTTATGTCATGGGCCCATCAAATGCTGGAAATATCAAAGCCAAAAAAACCAGTGTTAGGATCAGTTTGCCCATAATTTATAAGTTGTTTATATATTATAAATTGCGACGAAAATAATAATAGCATAATTTCAATTTAATCCAATAAACAAAATGTTACACAAGTTAATAGACCCCGCAATGGTGATGATAATGATGATAATGATGAATGGGTGCACTGGTTTTGGCGTGGTACAAATAGCACATGCTACATGTTAATGGACTTAGTTTAGAGAAGCTTCCGTGCAGCAGAGTGTCGTATACGCATGGAGATGGAGGAGAAAGACACAAAGTTGAAATGACCATTGGGTCCCACATGAAAGACAAATTTGATGACATAATGATCATTGTGATATAAAGGAAATCTCAGCCGTCGCTTTAGTAAGCATTGTTCTCTTGACTATGGAGGATGGAAACAAGGAGGAAATCGAGAGAAATCAAAAAAAATAAAAGGCCAGTAATTATGATAGGTCAAAGATATGAGTGTGGATATGGCCACATGGGTCTACGTAGTTGTTGTTAGGTTGCTGATTAGGACCCCTGTACATTTAAGCAAAATTTTCAACCCTAATAAATTGCATTATACGAATTGGATGAGTTGCAAAAATTGGAAGCAAGGAGCACTACGCTAGCCATCAATCATTCATGCACATATGAAAGCCGGTGATTGTAATTAGTATTGATGCGTTGTGAAATCCACTTGCATCAATAACATGCATACACACTCAGACTCGGACGGACAATTAATATTAACATAACCCTATGAAGTTTTAAAGTGCATAAAAAGTCCCTTATCAAAATTAAGATCTTCCTACATCAAATCTTGGCGATGATGCTGATTGGACGGAAGATAATGGAAATTAAGCTCATGCTTTAGTTCTGGACCTATTCTTACATAAATAAAAATCTTGGTGATGGTAATGGTACGTATTCATTTGATGGCAAATAATGGAAAGCTCTTGCTTGAGGTTCAGGGCGTGCTGATTTAATATGTCTTTGGTGTCTACATCACTGGACGCCAAATGAGAGTATTCTTCTAAAGGTTTCTGATAACTTCTGGTTTGTCCCTTTTTGATTTGCTGTTTGCACTTCACGCCTTGGTTCGAAAGCTTCGAAATTTTGAAGTGAATATAAGTTTGGATGAATTGCCATTAACTTTTAATCCACATTAATCAATCATTAGGCGTCCTTATTTCCCAATTTAACAGACACTCAAAATCTTAAACTGGCCTCTTAATTTGTGTGGAGAGCGATGATCTGTCCATCTCGGGCCAAGCAAAGTTAGAAACTTTCAAAAGAAAGAGATGGGCTAGAATATTTAAAGCCCATTCTGTCCTCACGAGCTCAAATGCACTTACCCCATGTCCGAAGGTGCGAATTTTCAAAGAAAGATTATGGGCCACCATAAACCCAACGTGCAATGTTTCACAAGAAGGTGCCAAAATATTGGTAATGCAAAAGAATTTGAGAAGAGAAAGACCTTGGCTTTGGCTGGCAACCATAGAAAATTCAGGCGCTCACGCAGGACTAATAATAGCACTCCTCCTCCTTATGTATTAATGAGGTAGCGAACAAAAAGACAGAAAAATAAGGAGAAAGAAACGGACAACCCACAAGCTAAAATAGACCCGTCTTTTTATCCCAACGAACCAGCTTCATAACCCTACCCACCTTTTCCTCTATATCCTTCATTCTCTTTCCCTCCACGAACAGGAAGGACAGAGACAAAGGCCATAAAGCCCCTCTCTTTTCTCTCCCTCTACAAACAAATTACAAAGAATAAGAGAGCAGTTTGTTTGTGTACGTACGTACCTGTTCTAAACTATCAAAACGAAGATGGGATACAAAGTCTGCTTGATTGTGCTGATGGTGGTCTTGGCCATGGTGGCCCAGTCATCAGCTAAAGGGCATGAGGCCAGCTGGGGCCTCAGCTTCACCGCCCACGACGACGAGTCGCTGATCGACAGAGCCAACAGCAAAGTTGGCGACATGATCGGAGAAGAAAACGAAATGATGATGGACTCAGAGAGCAGCCGTCGAACACTTAGAGGGAGTCAAAGAAGGTACATTGCGTACGGTGCCCTGAGGCGCAATGCTGTGCCATGCGGACGCCGCGGCCAGTCCTACTACAACTGCCAAAACAGGCAGAGGGCCAACCCTTACCAGCGCGGCTGCACCACCATCACCCGCTGCGCCAGACGCTGAATGTGATCAATTCGGTTTATTTACAAGACCAGATCAAAGAGAAATAAAAGAATAAGAAAAAGAAATAGTACGTACGTACAAGGATATATAGTGAAAAGAGAATGAAGGTGGGATCAAAATCATCGATCATCATCGACATTCATGCTTTCAAGATTATATGTCTTCCTCCTTTTGAATTTTAAGATTAATTACTGTGTTTGTTGAATTATTCTGTAATCTTTGTTTTGGTTATATTTATATATTTTTATTTACTATATATGCTTGTATTTCAAGGAGGAAATGAATAATCTAGATATATATACCTTTGGGTACGTATGATTTTATTTCAATGAGGAATTACAACTTTTTTTTGGGAGCTTCATTTGACTAATCATGCATGCAAATTACGTACAATTTCGGATTAAATTAATTAGTTATTGATGCATATACGTTTTTTGATTTAATTTTGCCCAAAACTCTGACCTCAGCTACGACTCTTTGATTAAATTGGCTCATGATAAATTAATAATAACAAAGGCATTTTTGTCCATATATAGGTTGCCTTTTTACTACAAATTTATAGAAACAAAAAATTTGGGTGCTGGGTGCTGCCCTTAAAGATCTTTTGGGCGTGGTCCAAAACCAAAATAGCCAAAAAGAAAAGATTAATAAGGGTATAATTAAAGAGGTCATTCCAATACATAGAAAATGATGAATTAGTAGTTTTTTACCCCCAAATTGATAGTGATTAGCCAGATACGCACCCAAAAAAATCTCTTTTGTTTAGAAAAAGAAGAGAAAATTAAAAAGGTGAATTGCTATAGCTTCGAGAAAACTGTGGATAAAGATAAAAGACCTTCGATGAAAAGCTCACTACAGATAAGGCGACATGAGCTTGACAAAAAAAAAAGGGTAGTGAGATTGGTTGATGATCATGCATCCAAGTATAAGCCAGGTGGCATAACGTTTAGTAGTGCTTGGCTCGATCTGAGGTGGACGAGAAAGACTTTCATGTAGCGGGAATATCACTTTTTGCTATACCCGATCAATGATGCAATGACACGTAAGATAACTTTTCCAAGTATTATTGTGTTATTAGTCAGAGATAGCAACAATGTAACAAGTAAGATTTTATGCATATGGCCAATCAATTTTATAATATTATATGATACCCGTCAATCTTACAATATAAAAAGAGTGAGCGTTACGTAATTTGCAAAGGAAATTAATCTGATTTTAACATGATAGTCATCAACAGGAAAATTGGCCATATGAAATTAGGTTTAAAATAGATTAGGTTGAATCACGAATCATGAATCATGAATCACGATGACTTGACCCAATGGATAAAGATGAATGATTCTAGTTGTACATTCAACCCAACAAGACTCGTTGGCTAATTAATCTACTGGCCCAAGCTTGGAGAACCTAGGTCCACAATTTTGGACCAAGTCAAACGCTATCTGATCCAATTTCTTGCAAGCGTTGTCAAAGATAGAGGTGAATTCTAAAAGCATCAAAAGCAAAACTAGAAACACCAACAGTATACCAAAGTGTTTGTTAGATATGGGAGTGCTACTGCTATCTGATCCATTTGGGAGTGCTACGGCTAAGAGTTTCTTTAGAAAGCATTTTTGTGACTCATAAGCACTTGTATATTTTTCTACCAAATAATATCAGAAACGCTTGTTGACGGGCGTGAAAACCCACAATGCATCAATGGTGACACTAGCAAAGACCAAACGGGTTTCTAAACAGTCCATATGGAAGGTTCAAATTCGCAATCAATCCCTCAACAACCATATGCTATCATACAGTGCAGAGGAAACAAACAAACAAAGCACAAGAGGCCAGCCCTACCCATGTTTTCTGGCTTTCCCGTCTTAATTTTCATCACTTCATCACTGCCTGTCTCTCAATCTCTCTTCTTTCATCATCACGAGTCCCACTACTGCCCCCTCCACTTTCACTTTCTCATGCGTCCCCATTGTATTTTGCACAGTTTTTGGTCTTTTTGTTGAGTCAAAAAGCAGACTCAAAAACCATGTTAGAGTTCAACAGAGGAGAAGAGAACCTTTGCTGCTTTGCATGATTGCTTTTCACACCAATTCAAAAAGGCCACGACCCACCAAGAAACTCAACCAAGTAGACGACTATAATAAGTCTACAAGTAGGTACCAAATTTCAATGGGACCCAACAACCCAATAATCAACATCTCCACCCTAAAACATTAATATAGAGAAACACTTACATGAAACGAAACCGAAACCGGGGATAGATTGACACTTAAGATGGGGCAACCATTACACACTAGGGAACTTTTTTCTGAGGATCAGCTTCTTAAGCTAGATTGATCCTAAGACTAAAAGATGCAAAGTAGGACCCATCATACATCTAAAGGTCACTTTCTCACCTATATCATGACCTATAACTATAGATCCACCATGCGTAGAGCATGAAGTAGTGCTCGATAAACAGCAGAAACTCTCGCATCTAAGCTCGATACTCTAAACTACTCTAAATTAACAATAATTATTAAGTATAAAATCACTAAATGTTTAACAATAACAGTAGGTGAACGAAAAAAATGCATGCATTGATATTTTTGGTTTATAAGAAAAAGAGCCATGTAGTGAATACAACAGAATGCAGGCTGCCTTGCTTGGCATCTTTTATCTCACTGAGAGAAAAACAACAAAAGGGTCAAGATTCCTTGCCCATTCTTCCCCGCTTTCTTTGACAGCTATCCCAAAGCTCATTTTCCCATTGACGAAAACAAACAAACTCTTTCCCCTTTCAATCTTTTTCTTTTTTCATTTTCGACTGTCACTCCTCCTGTTCATCTACCTAGAATTACTTCTTACACTGTTATAATTAATGCCTAATAATTTATTAGTTGAATTACATCTTCCCATTTACTTCTCTATTTAGTGAAAAAATAAAAAAGAGTAGACAAACCATATCAAGTAAATTCCATTCACTCCCCATGTTGGCTTTTTGACTCCCCAATTCAAATTCTAGATTTTTTACACCCCTGTCAATCGCGATTGGCCTAGTAGAGGAAAGAAAAATTGGAAATTTTCTTTTCTCCTCTCCCCTCATCTTTCTCAGCAACCAAACATGGGAAATGAGTTTAAAGCAAAATTAAAACGAGAGGCATACATGAAATTTTACAATTTGATTAAGGACTCTCTCATTCTCTGCAAATATTCCATTACAATTTATCTTCCTCAATCCTCAGCATCATCATCACGATCAATGTCAACAATAACATATTAAAATTAAACAAAACTAAAAAATTTAGAGTTGGTTTGGTTCAAGAAGAGGATGAACCTGAAGCTCTAGGCGACGTCGTAGGGAACAAAGGCAACAGTCGGGGCTCCGATTCCCTCGGGGTCGTGCTAGGTGACGGGTGCAAGTAAAAACCCTTTTCTTTAATGGCTTTCTCTTCAGCCTCCTTGTTTAAATGGGCACACCCAATGGGATTCAACCCGTAATTGGCCGACCCGGACCGGTCAAACGGGTCGGGTATGAGCGGCGTGACAGGGCTGAGAACTAAAGCCGGGAAATCGAGAATGCTCGGAGATAAAATCTCAGGGTTTCGGGGAGAGAAGCCGGAGGCGTTGGAACTGAAGACGGGGATTAGGGGGTTAATTCTGAGGTTCTTGAGTGAGTTTCGGCGCTCGTAGAGCTTGAACCCGGATTGTTGCTTTTTGGGCGTGGATTTGATGGGTGGTATGTGAGTTTTGTTATGCGGGTCTGGGCAGGTGTTGGCGGGTTTTGAAGAGGCCTGCTTGGCGGTTTCGGAGGATCCGGTTAGCATTTGGACGACTTGTTTGAAGGAGTTGGTGTCGGCTTGGACGAAGGTGGTCGGGTACGGGTTGGCGGATTCGGATCTGGTGATGGGTTTTGGGGGTTGGGGAGTTGGAGTTGTTGGTGGAGCTTGAAGTCCATTGTTGTTGCTGTGGGTGCTACTTGTGCTGCTGTTGGAGCTGTGGCTGTTTGGAGAAGGAAGCAGAGAAGGGTTTGGGTTCTCTTGTTGGTGTCTTGGCGAGGTTTCCATTGATGATGATGATTCTGATTTCTTGCACTGTTTGGTTGTCGAGAAAGTTGAAGGAAGGAGAGAAAATAAGAGGAGGAGGAGGAGGAGGGAAGGGGAGGGGGGAGGAAGAAGAGAGACTTCGATGTCTTGAGATGAGAATTTGTTGCTTTTCGTTTGGTTTGGTAAGAAATGTTTTGGTGGGGAAGGAAGGAGAGAAAATAAGAGGAGGGGGAGGAGGAGGGAAGGGGAGGGGGGAGGAAGAAGAGAGACTTCGATGTCTTGAGATGAGAATTTGTTGCTTTTCGTTTGGTTTGGTAAGAAATGTTTTGGTGGGGACTTGGGGTTCTACTGGTGTGTGAAGTTCTCTCACGCGCTGTGAGGAGTTAGTGATATATATACACTCCTAATTAATTTTTAATTTTTAATTCATTCTCACTAACTGTGCTAATTAATGTAATGTAATAAATTGAGGTCAATTATCAAAAACACTAATAAACTGAGGCAATAATGATATTTAATATTGTAATGGGGTTGCTTTTTTCCACAGATGATATCATTATTCAAGATATCTTTCTAGAAAAAAGATTATCATTCATGTATCACTGTGGACATGACTTTAATTATATCCAGCATTTTTAATGAGTATTTAACTTCTTTTTGTTACATACAAATACCGATTAGTATACATTTTTTTTTGGTCATAATATACCGATTAGTATACATGTGATTTCTCTTACAGTCCATATCAGGTACAAGTACAGTACAAAACGTGGTCGTTTGATATGTTTTCTAGGTTTGAAACCACGAATCGACGATGAGATGGAAGTTGAATACAAAGTGAGCAAAAAAAGTCCAAAGAAAAAGAAAAATAATCTGAACATATATTGACATGACACAAGCAGAGAAACCAGAACACGCATGGCATAAAACGCACAGAGCCAGCAGAACTACAAAAATGCACTAAGAAAACGGGTGGGCGTGAGTTAATGGCAACACCGACTGCTTAAATGGCATTGGTGCGGTTTCCACCTCACCGGTTACCGGTTAACTTAACGGGTCGTTTTGTGTTAATCCGTTAACTTAATATGTTACCGGATTAACCCAAAAACGAAACGAATGACCTGTTTGTCAGGTCCAGCTGTGAGAGATATAACGAATATGTAAAGAAATCATCAAAAAAATGTTCAAAGTTGTCATTGACTTGCAAAGTTGAATGCTAACATTTAACATATTAATTATTCAAATGCTATGTTTGGGAGGTGGTGCTGGTGCACTTAATCTGCACAAGCCCAACTCATTTATAAACCAGGATTAAGTAAATTAAGTAAATTATCTTTAGATGCAAACTATGTCCAACCTCTGCCTCGTCGAATTACTACTTTACCCTCAACCTTGTTGCAATGGTTCCAAGTTTGGCCCTGGCTGGTCCATGACCACTAGAAAATGTCAGCATCTTGTGTTTGTCATATGCCAATTATACAGTACATGACAGTACAACAGTACCCCGACCCGACATGACCCGGACCCATTGATTTTCTTATTTCACATTCTCTCTCTCAGGGTCATTTACTCTCTCTCTCTCTCTCTCTGCTTAAAGAGCTTTTAACAAGCCCTTTGATATTTTTCATAAAACTTGGGGTTTCGTTAATGAAATCCCATTAAACCAAACTCTCACCCTTTTGGCCTCTGTGGGAGTAAAAGGGAAAAAGACATTTTGATACGTCTTGTTTGTTCTCGCAGGGAATAACAAGAAGAACTCTTCAAGCAATTCTAAATTTCTTTTTTCTATTTTTATGTTTAGTCATCTCACTTTTGGAGTCAGATGAAAGAAGTCAATGACCAACAACAAGAGTTGGTGTCCTCTAGTATTCTATATTCTAAAGATGCATAAAGAACTTAAGCATTTTATACAGTGATGAATTAGATGAAAAAGACTTATATGCAACATTTTCACACACTTTTTCTTCGCACGAAATATGACGTGACGAGAGAAACAGAGAAAAAGATTACGAATCCGGAGTAGGTAAGTTTATATGCATCGCTTGACATGAGGAATTATATCCGCGGTTGAAGTTGCTAGCTAATGGAGATTTGGAATCAGAATTTTGAACCTCCTATAAATTTGGGCGGGTGAGATGAGATGAGAGTTTCCAATCTCCTTTAGCACATGTCAAACATTGAAGTTGATACTTAACGACAGGATCCCAATAGGCAAAAGTGAAAATGAGAGGTGAATCCAATTCTCATTTATATGAACTAAAAGCTTTAGCTACTTGTACTGTGAGAGGTTCAAACAAAGGGACCACACTCTCTGCTATATCAGTCACTTCTACCAAGAGCCTTATCCCGTTATCAAATGCAGGCTTGAGGACTTTTTTATAATTATTTTAGGCCCTTCCTTTGTCTTCGAGAAGAACTTGTATATCACAAGATAGTAAATTAGTGCTATCCCGGTTATATATAAATTTCTCTCCTGTCTCTTCTATGGTGTTGTGTGGGGAATTTTTTAGAGCAGGATCCCAATAGGCAAAAGTGAAAATGAGAGGTGAATCCAATTCTCATTTATATGAACTAAAAGCTTTAGCTACTTGTACTGTGAGAGGTTCAAACAAAGGGACCACACTCTCTGCTATATCAGTCACTTCTACCAAGAGCCTTATCCTGTTATCAAATGCAGGCTTGAGGACTTTTTTATAATTATTTTAGGCCCTTCCTTCATCTTCGAGAAGAACTTGTATATCACGAGATAGTAAATTAGTGCTATCCCGGTTATATATAAATTTCTCTCCTGTCTCTTCTATGGTGTTGTGTGGGGAATTTTTTAGAGCGGACAAACATGAACATTTCGATCCTTGTCCTGATTTGGCCTATACCAATCCCAATTTATGAGTGAAAATTGTAGATGCACCACTGAGCACGTTTAGAAATTCGATTAGCTGGGATGCAGACATTTATTAATTTTCTTTTACATCGCAACATTTCTGCATGCAACATACTTGCGGAAGTTAGATTCGAATGCCACCACAAGCCACAATTTTGATTGTGACAGAAGCTGAAATCCAGTGCGTATTTCACATGCATGAAAAGGGCACTCTGTAAACTTGCTTGTCCTGGGACTGCCATGCTTGACTTGACTAGCCTTTTCAATTATTTCGCAGCCCAACATATACACACTTTCTTCTATGATTGCAGACATGAAACTGCATAAGTTACATCTTCTAAGGGGTGGGTGCCCTACTTGCCTGAGGATCTAGAGGACATGCTTAATTTGACTTCTCACAACAATAAACTGATCGTAGTCACGGACTTGATTTAGCATTTATTATATAACCAATCATTTTAATGCCCCGCTTAAATTAGCTCGATACGATTTGCAGTATTCAACTTTCAGACAAGGAATTAGAAATCGTTCATTCACTCCATACCTTTACCTTACATAAAACTGTACAAGTAAAATGGGCTGATGTGCAAATAAAGATATGGGCTGGGCTAAGTATTTAAGCTTTATGTGCATGGCTTTAGAAGGCCTGCGCTTGTCCTTGTTTGTTCTCTGGGTTTGTTTAGACGGCCTAATAACATTTTGATTCTTGTAGCTATGTATCCATTTTCCACTTTAGTCAGTTTTTTTTTCAATTCTATATGTATTCATATTGTTTGAACACATTTTGAAGACACACAAATGTAACTTAACTTTTTCATTTTTTTTAATATAAGCTATATTTGAAAAGAGGGAATCGAACTTAAGATCTCGGGTACAGAGATAAATGCACTTAATCACTTCATCTACAAATCCTTTCCAAACTGTAATTTAGTTTCCTCGATCATGAATACAAAACAACATGAAGGGTGGGTTGGGCTCATGACCGTAGATAAATATGAATGGTATAAACAATAAAATAGAATATGAGGGAAGCAATGACGAATTTCAAGATCCAAAGAAAGTCAAGCTTTGAACAAGAATCCAGATTGCGTTGAATTGCGGGGCAAAACAGTTCAGAGGAAGCATAATCTCTAGAATGAAGAGAAATCTATCTGTATTATGAACTCATTTTCTGACTTCATCTCATTGCCAATTCAACACAATAAGTACATATATATATATATATATATATATATATATATATATATATATATATATATATATATATATATATATATATATATATATATATATATATATATATATATATATATATAGTTATCAGAACCTTATTGGACAGGTTGAACTAATATTCAACCTAGATAAAACAAAATCAAGCAATAAAAACTCACTAAAATCTGACCCACCTTTGCAATTGCATAGGTCATATCTGATGTATGTGATAGTATAATCCCAATCTTATATAAGGGCAGCTTATTTATTTATTTTTAATTGATGGAGGAAACGTAATTTTGACCCAGAAAAAGAAAAAAGAAAAAAAGAAGAAGTATAGTATTGGGCTATGGAGTCAGTGAAAGCCCAAAACTCGAGGGAAGTACGGGATTACGATGCCCATTAAGTACAATTTAGTTGTTTAGTAATGGAGTAAATTATAGTTCATTTGCTTGGCACGTGGATTTATTTGCAAGATTTATTTTGAACCGAATAATCGGGGTCAAATCTGAAGCAGCGGGATGGAATCCAAGTCGAACCTTCTACAGTATTGACAAGTGGCAGTTGCCACCGACAACCACAGTCAAGAGCTATAATTAGCATTCAAATCAACTAAGCTTTTTGATTAAGACAGAATTAAGGAATTGTTTACCAAGCTAAGGTGTGTCGACAATATTTTAAGTGTTGAGAATATGAATTCACGTTCCTTTGACCATGTTCAAACGTAGACTACAAATTGATCTCGTTAATTCTAATATGGTATTAGAGCATGTTATTTACGATTTTAAATGGCCGTTACACCAAACAAACGTGAGAAAAAGCTTCAAGAATAAAGGAAGTTAGTAGTCAAATTGATTAAGAAGGGTTATCCTACACTTAGGGTAGGTTAGGTTATTTGTTGGAATTACCGAGATGAAAATTACACGATGGCTAAAGTGGATTGGAGGGCAAGTAAAAAAGTAAAAGCTGACTGATGTCTTCTTGTAAGGTACAATATTCTCACCTCGATCAAGCTAGCTTTTGAAATTTTATGATTTGCTTTGGCTCCGCTTTTATTCTGGGCCATGTCCACGTCTAACCCTACGGTCTACTCATCTGTCAGCTTTCATTTTATTCTTTTAATAAACTATTATTGAGTTTGAGTTTATTTAACCAAAGACTTGTATTATTAATTACTAAAATAAAAAGGCCTCGGAAACTTCTACATTGCTATATGCAAAAATTGGTTACTCGTTGCTGGGCACGTGACCCAGCTTGTCCACTACACTCCTACGATTCACCCTCCCAAGCCCAGCCCAACCCCAAACCCTCCACACCAAAATTCAAAACCAAATTCATGAAGTAAAACTGCAGGGAATCCTGGCTTCAATTTCTATAAATTTCACTTCATTGAGCCCCCCACTCCATATCTCTCTTTCTCGCTCTCTCATTGGTCACTCTCTCTCTCTCTCTCTCTCAAGAAAAAAGACTAGAGAGAGAAAATATGGGTTTTGGTGGAGCTAAAGCTCTAGTCTTTGTGCAGCTCTCAGTTCTTCTACTGAGTTGCTTCACTGTGTTTGGAAATGTAATTGATGTTTTACCCCCAAGCTCTCCTCCACACCACCATGTTCACTATTCACACCCAGTAGCTTCCCCTGCACACCCACCAACTCACCACCACCACCACCACCCACACCCGCACCCACATCCTCACCCTCCTACTGCCTCCCCGGTTCACCCACCGGTTCACCCTCCTACCCATTCACCGGTCCACCCTCCAACCCATTCACCAGTTCACCCTCCAACCCATTCTCCGGTCCACCCACCAAGCCACCACCACCACCATGCCCACCCACCGGCTCACCCTCCTACTCACGTCCCGGTTCAACCCCCGAGTCACCCTCCAACCCACCATGCCCCACCGGCTCACCCTCCTACTCACGTCCCGGTTCAACCCCCGAGTCACCCTCCAACCCACCATGCACCACCGGCTCACCCACCGGTTCAGAGCCCAAGCCACCCCCCGGTTCACCCTCCGCATTACCCGCCTAAGAAACCTTTCCCAAGGAGCTTTGTAGCGGTTCAAGGCGTTGTTTACTGCAAGTCTTGCAAATACTCCGGCGTTGACACCCTCTTGGGCGCCTCCCCTGTTCTTGGTTAGTCCATAACTCCTCTGCATTTCACTTAAATTACAAAAAACAAAAAAAAAACATTAATTTATAAACATTTTTCTAACAATGTGATCTTGGATTTGGCTTTTATTTTATTTTTTATGGCAGGAGCTACTATCAAGCTACAGTGCAACAACACCAAGTACCCATTGGTTGTGAAAACCAACACAGACAAAAATGGCTACTTTTTCATCACAGCACCCAAGACCATCACCACCTTCGGAGCTCACAAGTGCAAGGTCTCCCTCGTCTCATCACCCTCTGCCACTTGCTCTAAGCCCTCTGATCTACATGCCGGTTTGAGTGGTGCAGTCTTGAGGCCACAGAAGCCTTTCATGTCCAAGAAACTCCCATTCCTCCTCTACAATGTTGGCCCATTTGCCTTTGAGCCCAAATGCCATTAGTTTCTTTACAGCATGTGTGTTTTGTACTGAAGTCTTTGTCTAGTTTTCACCACATAATCCTAGCATAATCTGTCATTGTTAGGGTTTTCCCCCAACAATGGTTTTAATGGTACTCTTCTTATTTGGCTAAAAATAAATAATGGGATTTTTAGAATGGTAATGTTGTGGGTGTACTCTTTTGAATTATTAATAATAGAATTACCTATTTTAACTTGTAGTAGTGAGAGTTTTATTTATTTAACGGTCATATAATTTTTACTGCTTGCTGTGCTAGCTATGGATGGGCAGACATGGAGCTTTCGTTTTGCTTTGTTTTGTAGAATAAAGAAAGCGTTGAATTTGAATTTGAAAGCTCCTCGGCATGCATGCATGCACAGTCTGGTGCACTGAGCTCTTCACAGCCGTTGGATTCTTGAAAGGTCATGTATAATTATGTCTAAGGAGGGGAAACCCTATCCAGTGGGGCCCCTCAGCTCAGTCGTCCTTGTCCTTTTTACCAAAGAGAGATAAGGACACCATGATTCATGGATCAGCCGCTGCTTTTAAGTTTTGTCTTTGGACAATTAGAAAAGTTAACCATGTCAAATCATGTGTCTGGTGGGGGCTGATCCAGAAAAAGAATCTTGTGGAGCCAAAAATTTACATGGCATATCAATCTAAAAAGAGAACATTGTATAAACACCATGCGTGCTTGTCACGTGGTTGGTTCCATTTTCCACCCATCTCATTCCTTCATTGGGTGCATTAGGTAATAAGTTGGGTGGTGCATGGGCATGGCATTTGCTTAATATTATGCTGCCATGGATGGAGCTATTGAGAGCTTAATTGGTTTTTGCATAGCATATTTAAAACAGCTGGATGAGTAATATTACTGTGGAATGGATCACATCACATGGCAGAAAGAGTTGCAGACTGGGAGGAGCTATTTTTGGGTTGGCTGAGCAACTCAGCATATACACACCTCTCCAAGCTAAACCTACTTTGGTTTTTCAAAATTTATAGTGGTATATGTAATAATAAATAATTATTCATCTCTGTCAGGCTCAATAATTTTGGTGGAAAAATTGGTGATGAAGCTTTCAACGAAAACGCCAGTCTTGGACCAATGATGGTTATGGGACAGGTTTGCTGTTACCCAAAAGCCATGTTTTACGAGAAAATGAGTAAAATAAAAACACTATCTGACCAGCAATTTTCAAACATTTTTCTCACAAACGGCCATAGCTTTCCAAGTTTCCAATGTTAAGTTACGAGTTCCCAGCAATTATCGGCGACGCTAGTGGTGAGTGCAACGCATGCACATAGATTGACATGCATAGTTTAATTTAATATATATCAATGACAAATTAGTACATTAATATTGTTGCATGCCTAGCTAGAAAATCAAAATATATATGACATTTGTGAGTGACACTAGGTAATTTTTTTTACTGTAAATCCATATTCCTCCTGTAATTATCCAGATGTTTAAGGGTGATTAATAGTTTCTTCTTGTATAAGCCTATAAAAAATTAAAAAAGGAGGGTGCCTCCTCTTTCCTGTTGGTAATTTGTGGGACAATGCTGCTTCATATAGTATGGTTTGTGTCAGACTCAGAAGAGTTTGTCCAATAAAGAAAAAATCTTCTTCCCACGCAGCTGATCTTGTCCAAAACCTACTACTTGAGAAGGTGCTTGGTGGGGCCAACTGCTATATCATGTGGCCCAAAAAACAAAAACGCATCAACAACAAGAAGTGGATTCAAATGGGTCTCTTGATACGGCTGTGACCTACAATCGTAACATTTTTCAGGGTTATGAATGGGAGGTGTGCACTATTCCTTGTTTTTGGGTTAACTTCACTACACTGTGGGTTGAATTGTATGAAATAAGCATGATAATTTCTTAACATGGACTGTGTTTGATGCATTGAAAGATGCATGTGAATGTCTAGATTTCTATAGTGAGGGCTACTTAGATGAGATCTTATCTCTTAACTGTGGGATTAAACTAACAAAATTGATCAACAGTTAAGAAATAAGGCCTCATCTAAGAGGCTCAGATAAGGCCCTCACTACTCCACTCTAAAGATTTTGAGAATGCTATGCTAGTTATGGTCCACATTGTAAAGAGTCGGGCTTGCAACCGCAATGAACAGCCCAGGCCCATAATAAAATCCTAGCCCAATCCCCTCCACTTGGAAATGAGGGCCCAAAGCCAATAATTTCAGTATTAATATTACGATTACAAAGTGGCTACTTGAAATTCCACTTCGTCTAAACAAATTGCATAACCAGCTCCTTAAATTCCCTTGGTAAACGAAATCACACAAATTTCAAGACTTCTAATTTCAGAGTAAATGGGGATGCCGCACAGTGGAAAGAACAAGCAAACCTCCTAACAGAAGACACTCTAAACGCAAACGTAATGGGGAAAGAACTAACCGAATACCGTGGACAAGAAACCAAACACGTATCAAGACAAAATTGGAGTTTTACAAAACACAGCATAACAGAAAACTTCAGGTAAAAGTAAAAAAGAAAAGAAATCAGAAGCAACAAAAACCACATTCCCATGGTCTACAAGTTTTTATCTAGCCAGTATAAAAGATGGCAGACTACAAATACTCATAGAATACTTTATGCCAGTGACGAAATAAAAGTTAGCTAACTTCAAATACAAAGTCCTTGAAAAGGCATATATAAGCTTCTTTCCCCATTGCAACTATCAGAGTTGTAGCCAAGTCTCCAATCTTACCAATTGCGATATCGGTTTTAATCTGCAGCCAACAACCAATGATGAAGCAATCAACAAAACAAAGGCAAGATAAAACCAATTTGTATTATAACGAAAAGTCACATTCTATCATACAGCAGGCAATATACACGTAAAATAAGCATTTACTGACTTGAAAGCACAAGGAATTTAAACTAAGGGGCAAAAAGATAATAAGCAAAACTTAATAGTAACCTCAAGAAGAAACTAAACATATTCATAAAAGCATCAAAGGATTCCTTTCTAGAAATGTGAGGAGAGGAGTACAGTCAACTGTTCCATTTCTAACAAGAGTCAACTGTAGCTGGAAGCACAAGAAACCGTATTTGCTCTCAAGTTCAAATGTGGCTAACTTTTAAGAGGAAAAAGATTAAAATCACCATATAATGTGTGCTTATAATAGAACAACAACGCCTAACATCAAGCAAGGACAAGTCAAGATTGGCAACAACGGCCTACCAAAACCTCAGGTTTATATTTAACATTTAACAGTGAACAGCTCAATAAGAAAAGACTATTAATTTACACTGTAAGAAATGATCTTCGAACTTCACACAATCTAGTTAGGTTGAAGTTTGAATGACTAAAGCAAATCATTATATTCATCTTCAGGAGCCTTTTGCCATATTCGAAGTTATACATGATTCAAAGGGAAACGATCAAGGTAAGAAATCATTAAGCAATGATGAAATTAGTAAAAAATGCTTAATTCAATACATTATTATTAAAAAATAACTAAAACACTAAGAATGTAAGGAACAGTACAGTTTGAAATGCAGCTAGAAATATTACCCTTTAAGCTTGAGTAGCCTCAACCTCCTTATCCTCTACATCATTTGCAGCAGCATTTGGCTCAGCACCTTGCCCATCCTCTGTAGGTGGCTGAACTTGCTCATCTTCCGGTAATGGTTCCTCCACATAATCGTTCTCAAAGGCATCTGGAGGGACCTCATAGATCCTAACCTGAGGCTTAGACGGGTCCTTAACAAGCACATACTTGCCCTCATTCAATTTCATACACAAGTCAACAATAGACTTCACAATACCCCACATACTGTTCGTGTTCAGATTAATCTGCGAAGCAAATTCCTTGGGCTTATATCCGACCACAGCCAAAATCACATGGTTAAAGTGATCACGAGGATGAACCCTCGAAACATAACCCAACTTCATCAAATCCGCACTGGCCAGAAGAGCTTGAGCAGTCCATTTAGCTAACTTATTAGCATTGTTCTTAAGCTCAGTCGCCAAAACCGCACCCCTTTGGGTCTCCAACTTCTGCCTCCAATCCACACCAGAATACTTGGGATCAAACTCATTAAGCGCATTCAAAGTCAAAAACGACCTCTGATTGTTGACCTCCATGACACTCTGAACCTCGCATCTCGCAACCAGATACATACCCTCTTCAAGCTTCCACCTTCTGTAGCGATACGCAACAGAAGCAACCTCCTCACCTTCATTCGCAAATGGGTTGGGCTCATCGAATGTTACCTTATTGCCATCCCTAATCAAAACCTGCTGCGAGAAGTTCTGGTTAATATAAGCAGCCTCAACACTCAAGGAGTAAGCAGAATTGATATCATCCTTGGCTTCAGGCAATGGCTCCTGAGATGTCTCGTGAACCGAAAGCAAATCCAACTGCGACCCATCACGTTTATCGAAGAATAACTTGTTCCCAACTCGCTGAACAACGATATCCCAAGAGTAAATCGACCTGGGCGCGCACATGAGAGTCGAGAGAATGGTATCAGTGGCAAATACTGTAGCTTTGTCCTCGTTTGCAAGTCGGCGAATGACTGGGTCGTCGGTGGTGGTGACCTTGAAGAAGTTCCGATTCTTGAAACGCTCGAGTCTTCGCTCGTTCTTGGGCGTGATTCGATCGCAGGACCGATCGTAAAACTCGAGCCCACCGCAGAGGAGCAGGTCCTCTGGTTCTGGGACCGAAAATGACAGCTTTGAGAATGTGGAGAAAGGGATCTGGTCCAGCATGTTCCACTCGGGTTGAATATCGACCGATGATTTGAAAACCGCGGCTTCGCGGCGAGGGACGTTGAGGAACCGCCATTTGGGGCCGAACCTGGGGCGCGGCGGGGGCTTTCCGTCGACGAGACGGAATGAGGCGTCGTCATCGGCGGAGGCAGGGAACGACTCGTCGTTCGAGAAGTCGAAGACTGAATCTGACGGGTTCTTGGACCGGGCCGGGTTGTTGAAGGTGCGGGTCCAGTCGGCGATCCGCCCCAACTTCTCGGCGCGGGAGAATGGGGCGAAGGGGACGTTGAGGGGGAGGTTGGAGGTGGTGGTTGGGGTGGTGGCGCTATCCGGTGGGCCCCACCCGTCTGGATTGAACGGGACGCCTCCGACTTCGAAGCCTTCGACCATGGCTGATGGATTTGAGAGATTCAGAAAGAGGAAATTGGCGGTGCTGACAGTGAAAGAAGCTTTCAGTCCCGATTGGGTTTGGGATTAAACCCTAGTTTTCGTGCAGTTATATACTACGGGTTAATTTACTGTTTCATCCCTGGGCCGTAATGTACTTTTCGGGCTTGGTTGGTTCTCTCGTCAAGTGTGGGCTTTATCTATTGGGTTGGGCCTTGTCGGGTTTGCAGAATTGGATTGGATTGATTCACACACCCAAATTAGTTCGTCAAACAAGTTCAACTTTGCTGCTTCTGCATTCGTATGGAGATCGAAATTGGAGAAAGATAAGCAAGTCCTGACTTCTTTTGATTTACTAATTATAATTAGGGTTTTCAGTAGAAGCATAGCACACTTCTCATTTCGTTGGTGATGGCATATTGAATCCTGCTTCACCTGATTTAAGGATCAATGATGATGATCAATGCAAGGCAAACTCACACATAAGATAAGACTATATATAATAAACTAAGATTTTCTTTTCAATTTTTTAATGTTTATAATCATCTTATAATTATTTGATGTGCCTTTTCCTAGTGAATTGTCATCACAATGTCTTTACTTTTTGCTTTTGTTGGATAGGGTTTGAGGATTTGTTATAAAGTTGGTGAATTGTAATACTTTTTTTGTGCGCTGAACGCATTATGTCGAACTCTGACAAAAAAGCATATGAGATACAGTATTTAGTGATAGACCTCATATAGACTGTGTATTGCAATTTGCAATATATAACACACTTCTAACTCATGGGAAGATTGTTCTTTTTTATTTTATGAAGCTATTATTTTTACTTTTTTAAACAACCGTCAATCGTAAGATTTGAATTGAGAACATCTTTCGACAAAGACAAAGTGGAGATTAAATATCAATGGATCATATGGTCATTAGCTTATGAAGATTGTCATGGTTTTGGAAATCCCATACATGACATGAGTGAAGGTTCTTATCTGTTTATTGGGCAAATTCAGTAAGCTAGTTTTTCTTATCTGTAATATATATGAAGGTTCTCTTTCGATTGCTCCTATTCATCGCAGACTTACCTTGTTAACAAAACTCTTGCATTCATGTTCTGAAATATCAACCAATAATTCATCTCTCTCTTCTTCAAACAATATAAGCTATTTATGTACCCTAATAATTATGCACTGGATAATCATTATCAGAAAAAGACTGTCACCACCAGAGATAACAAATGTTCGTAAGCTTCAATAATTCAAAGAAAGGTCAAGTCAAGAAAGAAAACATTTAAAAGAGGGAGCATATAGGAGGATAAAAAGAAACAAGTTCCACATGCCCAGCTAAACATCAGATTAACACAGATTCCCAGCGCATCCACTTTTTCTGTCCATTTCCTTCCACACAATATATATACACATATATAACAGATAACGAAATAAGCATATAACACAAAATCAAAAGAAAGATTAATAGTTCTGGAAACTTTTAGTTTGTGCACATGAAGATAAGTAGTGAAGCAAATGTAAGAAAACCAGAACACAATATTTCTGTTGCTTCTCCAACCCTTTCATTCCTCCAATGACCTAATTTTTGAAACTTACTGTAGACTACTACTCTTTGTTTTGCAAGTAAGAAAGCATGTATTTTTCGAATCATATAAGATCGATCATACTTATTGACTTATATCGAAAGTATAATTCGGACTCTGTCGATAGTCACCTAACAATTTATATGATGAAACAAAAACCTCAATATTTCATTGAGTGAGTGAACAAGCATGAATTTTGGTAAACTGCAGTAAGTCCTAGATGTAAGCAAAAGAAAAGAAAAGCTCGAGATCGTGACCAAGGGGCATATGCATAATGACATAGTCATTCTAAAGGACTCACAAGAAGATCACCAACCAAACTCAGAGAAATATACATATAATTAAGGTTATCAATCCCTTCAATATAGAGCAGCACTTTGTGATCATATTGTATGCTTCAAAATGAACCAGCTCTACCGTTCACAAGCTTTTTCAGTCTCTCTGATATCCTTGCAGCTACGGGGCCTGGTGCAGACTCTCCAATCTACTTATGAAGAAGCAAAAACATGCGTAAATTCATGAATAAACCATTCTATATAGAAATATACGTATCTATATCTAGAAAAAAAAAATTATAATGAATTAATGTTGTTTGTTTGGTTAATTATACCTTGGAATGTATTGTGTGGAAAATGGTATCTTCAACAATTGAAAAACTGGCGTTCACAATGTCGGCTCCCTCTTCATGAAGCACGCGAATTGATTCATTAAACATGAACTGATAATCCAACCCAGTTATCAGAACAACCTGTAGAGCTGAACCCATTTCTTGAATCTCAATCTCAATCTGTGGTGATTTTAAGCCCCCCATTACTCCACCACCAACAAAGCCGGCATTATTATTTCCACTCTTCTCAGCTCCCATTAGGCTCTCTTTCTTCTCCCTCATTTTCTCCAAGTTCGTCTGTAGCTTTTTGATGTAGCTCACAGCATCATCTAGCTGATCTGGTAGCGATGTCACTTCCTGCAAAATTCCATTACCAAAAACACTTCTCAATATGGACTTACTTTGTCAGACAAATGCTTATGTTGCGATTGTGAAATCTGGAGTACAACTCATTTTAAACCAAATCATTTTGATGAATGAATCAAATTCACAGTTTGACAAGAGAAGATTATTGATGAATACATATATATACACATAGGGGAGCAGTAGAGTGAGAGAGATACCCTTGAACGTTGATGGGGAACAAGAGAATTGAGCTTGGAGTATAGGGCTTTCATTTGATTCCTCCTATTTTTCTCTATGGTTTTCCTATCAGCTCTAGATGAACTAGGGCAGTGCTCCATGAATATGCCAAGCTCTAGCTAGCTAGAAAAGCTAAGTTAGCTGTACTGTGCTACCAACCAATAAAGAGAAAACAATTTTCACTTGCAAAATTGAAGTGCTTGATGATATATGTATTATACATAAATAGTCAAAAACTTAACAAATGTTGGTCATCAATTTGTTGTTGCGTGCGCTTTTATCAAGACTCTCTCTCATGAAGAGAAGAGAAAGACAGCCAAAGGTGAAAAGAAAAGCAATACTGTATCATTAGATGCTACTGAGAAAAGTTTACAGATTTCAGAGGGCACTGGGACCCTTCATTCCTGTTTGGCAGGGCCCTACGTGCGCACCACCGTCCTTGACCGTCATTTCCACAGACGAAAACACATGGTTCTGGGCTGTGCTATTTCCGGATTTCAACAACCGTAGAGGATGTATCAATCAATTAACGTATAATTAAAATGGAAATTAGCAGATTAATGTTCTTCTAGACCATCTTTTGCATTATTTTATAAAGTCACAGTACCAGCTATAAATTTATGTCCTACCTACCTTAGAAACACAAAAGGGCAATATTCTTAAATTGTGTAAATAGATAGACAAGAGGAGTCATGTGTGTAATTGATATTTATCGTTAATGCATGTAGGTCACATTGCATCAACGGTCCGTATTAAAGAATGGCCATTGTATTCTTCGATACATGCACAAGGACTAAAAAACTTCTTTTCACGCAACCTTATTCTTCTTATGTTCATTAATTAAGTTTATGAAGTGGTTAACAACAACAAACTATTTGGTAAGTAACCATGTGGTTTTTAGCAAGCACATTTTATACATGCTCACCACTGTGGCTGATGCTGCTAAATATGACAGCATTATCTCTGGTCTTCTTTTTATGCATCTTTTGTTCATTCACATTTGGGTTTATCATGCAAATCATTCTCCACAGACTACTCTCCACTCCTTGATCTTATCCACTAGTTGTCGAAGCTGAGTGTTGATTGGTTTTGCTATACATCCCTCTAATTCAACACGTGCTTGAAGAGGGTCTATCAAGCCGAAAGGATCCTGTGGCTTCCTCCAAATATCAGAAATCTTTCCAATTAGACATATATAGCAAAGTTTAATCTGCGTTCACATATTAATTAAAGATGAGGCTAGCTACCGCAACTTTAGTCTGAATTCACATGTTAAAGATGGTTTTTTTTTTGTTTGTCGTTTCCACAGAAGACGTCAAACCATTATCAGAAACAATTACATAGAACTATATACATTTAAAGTAGCTTTAGGAGTTGTTACCACAACCACAGATAAATGGGGAGTTTTTTTGAGAGATTTGAAAATGACAAGCCCTCAAGAGAAACTAAAGTTGATAATCCGAAGGGAACAGATCATGAGTCGTGCTCTCAAATTCTTTTACAAACCCGGCTAGTGTTTTGCTTTCATGCCAAAAAAAAAAAAGGTGGGGACAATGGGGATTTTATAACAAGATGCTGTGTTCTTTTGATGATACTTTGAGTGTTCAAATCTTTCTTTCTACGTTCTTGCATTTCTTGCCACTTATATGTAACTGGCCAGGAGCGGTTCTAATAAAACTGCTGATGATCTTTCTAGGCTAAACACTTTTAGGAGTTGTTAGGAAATGGGTTCGAAGTAAGTTTTTTGATGCATGCTTCCTAACAACTAATACTAATCTAATCCATCTTTTTGTAGTAATCTAATGATTAACAAAAGTATTGTTCTTTTATCAAAGTTTAACATTTTGTAATGTTGTATGAGATATCAGCAGGTCAACACCATAGCACAATCGGCATTACGTTGGACGATTATATAAATAAGTTCTTATACATCTTCATTAAAATTGAGCATTGTTTTATTTTATTTTTTGGACAAAACAAATTTTTTAACTACTTTAATGTACGAGGAGGGAGATCAAACTCAAGTGTAAATGAGCGGACACACTATCTTAATCAACTGACCTAACCCATATGTGCAAAGTTGAGCATTGTTTAGAATATGAGAAATATAATCAAAATGAATGTGAAAGGCAAAATGAAGAGGAGGGGGTGAAAACGGCTTTAATTATCTTATGGAAAGGAGTTAGTTGGCATCATATTTGCCATACATAGTGGCTTTTGTTGGGGATTCTGTCGTTTGTTTTTGGAGCCCTGTAAAAGGACCGGCAAGGTCTGTGGACTCTCTGCCATTAAAGTTGATTGAATTGAATGGGTCTGCCACTAATAAAATAATGTCCAGGAAGACTCAATACATTTTTTATATATAATATTTATAAAGTACTTCCAGAAATGATAAAAAAGTATGATTTAATGCTCCACAAACCGTGCAACGCATCAGATGTCTATCTGATATTACAATTAAGTATTATTATTTTGGTGGGTAGAACTAGAAGTAGAACCCTAGAGTCCTAGACCCTTCCTAACCTTTATAAGAAGCCAAAACCACAATGCAAATTTGAAAACCCCGTCACCACTTTCGTGGGATCAGAAATTGACCGTACAACTTTGGAAGAGCCAATTGGGCAGGTGCTAAATGGTCTACAAAGGGAGAAATACTCGTGTGTTATTTCGGTCAATCATGTTATGTTAAGTGAAAATATTATCACGTGTGATATATTGTAATTGGCTGGGTATAGCAAAACAATGTTATCCTTGTTGCATACAAGTGTTTCTCCCTTTATAGGGCTAAACTTAGGTGCAACGTGTTTGGGTACAATCAAACTTGAGACATCTTCGAACAAAATGAAAATAAATATCACTAAATTAATAATTAGTTGGATTTGATATGTTAATTCAGTTAATTAAATGATACATCAAAATGAACCAACCACTTGTACTGGTCGGACCGATTGAAGAAAGAAAAAGAGTGGGAATAAAAAGAAGCACAGTCCAACCATGTCGTAGGCAAAGGTGCTGGAGCAGCTTTTACCCTCCAAAAAATAAAATAAAAATTCCGTCAATCTTTCTAAAATGCAATGCGGGGATCGGATGGTTTATCATTGGTTAGTCTGGTCAAAAGGAAATAATTAAGCATCTAAAATACGTCACTAAGTATATGGAATGGACCACAATTTGCAGACGTCACGTCTGTTAAAGTAATTAGATTGTGACCTCCAGAAATGAACGACAGATGAGGACCTTGTCCAAACAAATGTCGACAAATTAACAAAATTAATTCATTCACGCCAATTTTTAAGACACAACGGTTGTATGATGCAATTAAATTATCAAGATTCACAGCATTTTGAACCAAACCATGAATCATTTGACAGTTTGGGAAATTTCACTTTCTCATTTTCACTGCTTGGTGCAATTGCATTCATGGTTCATGATATCGCTTGTACCGAAAGAAAAATATCACGGGTTGGAAGTTATAGGTGGCAAAAGCAGAAAGCCCATTCTCCATGCAATGCATCTAAATTCTTCTGGGGGAGTTGCTTGCGAAATGTCATATCGCAACATTAAACTCTTTAAGCTACACAAGGAGACAATTGTGTTGTTCCTTGAATGAGCAGACAAACCCAGTTGTGTTCTTGGCAATACAACACACAAAAACAATGTGAGAATTTATGTGAACATGTCCTTCACCACCTACCCTTTTAAAAGATCACGGATTTTTTTGAACCCAAATTTCCATACAAGTAATCAAACATTATGATGCAAGGAGAAACGTGTAGGCCATGCATCCACTTTCGCTTCAAAACTAGACATTTATGTTTGTATCAAAGAGTCTTCAAAGCGTGCAAGGCAGGCAAAGGGGTAGGGGAGGAGACAATTGGACAAAAGGGTAGATGACTGGGTGGTGCTATAAGAAAACAGAGGGGTGTGTATGGTAATTGCCTAATTGGACAAGCCAATTCATTATTGGTTTGGTTTGATGAAGAATGCATTCAAATGCTTGGGAAGGTAAATAGAAAGAAAATGAAACACAGCACCAATCATTCTGGTTGTGAAAATGACATGTGAAAACAAAACCCATCCTTGATTGATTGCATGAACAAAGCTGAATCTATAAAAAATATCTAAAAAGGCTTGGACAGATAGAAGAAGAACTAATAAGAATATTCAAACTTGCAAAAGAAAAGGAGCCATGATAACTGTCACAATATGGCATTTTCCACCTCTCTCTCTCTCTCTAAAGAGATAGAAGAAGAACTAATAAGAATATTCAAACTTGCAAAAGAAAAGGAGCCATGATAACTGTCACAATATGGCATTTTCCACCTCTCTCTCTCTCTCTCTCTCTCTCTCTCTCTCTCTCTCTCTCTCTCTCTAAAGAGATAGAGAGTGAGAGAGAAAAAAAATATATGCAAAATTGATAAGCATTTGTTGTGTATGTAAATAATATGAAAAAGATATTTGCTTCACTCCAATGCATGCCTTTCAATCTATTTGTTCACTTCCACTGTTCCACATGAATGTAACATAATAGAGAAATACAATTTTAAAAAAAGGCTTGAAAAACGAACCTTCTTTTTTTAATTACAATTGACCTGGTGACACTACAAAAGCCAGATCATAAGAAAGATTCAAGAGAACTTGGGTTTGGGCACGGGTGTGCTATGAGGATGCACAGGACCAAGCTTATGAATCCGGTGAAGGAGCCCCTTCTTATGATCTTGGCAAATTAGATTTTGTACATGAGTCAACGTTCCGTCACGGGCAAGGGAAGACTCGAATTGCTCCAATACCTTCACAACCTGACAAAACTCAGGCCTTTTATCTGGTTGCAAGGACCAACATTGCTCGATCAAGAGTCGCATGGCAGATGGGCAGTCCTTTGGAATAACAGGCCTCAAATTCTGAAAAGAAAGAACCCACAATATCTTAGAATGTATTCCATATGTAACTTATAAGTTAGAAGTTTCTTTTTTATAAGTAACTTTTTTATAGGTATGCATCATATAGAGCTTCACAAGAAAGAGTAAATGGCAATATTGAAGGTGCTGCAAGCTCAAATCTTTTGCAAACTCATTCCATGATGAGTTATGACCCTCATCTGCTACTTATTGAAGACTAACCTTCACAGACTAAGGGAAGGAGCCCAATATGCAACCCTTCTAAGTTCGAACTATAGACAGGGGAAATAAAAGTCAGAAACATACCTTATTCACTACAGCAAAAGCAGCTTGAATGGGATTCATATCCTCATAGGGGATTGCTCCGGCCACCATTTCCCAGAAGACAAGTCCGAAACTGTACACATCAACCTTCCTCCCATAGGATTTACGCTTGATCATCTCCGGGGCCATCCAACGGTACGTCCCAGGGTCATCAGCCAAAGAATCGCAGTACGCCTCCTCGCATGCTATACCAAAATCAGCAATTTTCAGGTGGAATTCTTGATCAATAAGAACATTTTCGGGCTTGAGGTCCCTATGAATGACTCCTTGTGAGTGTATGTATTCCATTCCCCGAGCAATGTCCAAGGCAATGGCAATCAGTTTCTCCAAAGGAAGAGATTTATCCTCCAGTTTGTGCAAATATGCCCTCAAGGAACCCTCTGATAAATATTCCGTGACTACACAATATACGGGTGGCTTTCTACAGGCTGCAACGAACTGTTTCATTGGATCAAGATATCAGCAACAAAGGATACACAATTTCAGCAAACTAAAAGGCATGAATCGCAATTATGATAGTTATAAACATGGTTCAAACATATCTGATGTCTAAAAACTTCAATCTATAATAGACTATTGGTTGACCAGCATACGAAAATTGAAAAGCCAAAAGAATAATTCTGACAAGGCAAGGGAGAAAATTACATAACCAAATAACATATGAAAGGTGGAGAAAGGAAGAATTCAGTCACCTTTATGACATTTGAATGGTGGAGACGTGATAGAAGAGTAACTTCTCTCCTAAACTGTTTCTCCAATCGAGCTGCCAATACTCCACTTTCGTCATCATCCGGAGCCCTGATAATCTTAACTGCAACAGCTTCATCGTTGTAAATACCATGGTAGAGCCTGCTATGCGCCCCATGAGCAAACTTAAGCCCAAGAAACAACTTTGACAAATCAACACTAAATTCATCGGCAGCTTCCACAGCATTAACTCTGCCACCGGCATGGTCAAAGTACTTGGCCCAAGGCGACTCCTTCCGGTTCTTCGACTTGTCATTGACTTTCATAGACGCCAAGTGCCTCAGGGGGCTCGTATTCATCGGATTCGATGCCTTAGTTTGTGAATCCTTACTAAATAACCTTCCCATAACTTTTCTCTTAGGATGTGGTGTCGAAAACCTCTTGGCTTCAGACTTGGCTTCCTTAAACTCATCAGAGAGGGTGGTCTGAGGCAGAGGGGACAAAGATCTCTGCTTGGTAATGAGATTTCGCTGAAACCGTGAAGGAACATGGTTCCTCTGAGTCTTTGAATTATTGAGCCTTGAAGTCTGATTAGAAGGAGCCTCTGTTGCTGTTGCTATAGGCCTTGACTTTAACCCTGAAATCCGGTCTTGTTCAATGGTTAGAGGAAGGGAGGCCAATCTTGAAGAATCAAAGCGATGAGAAAACTTTGTTCTCCTAATCCAAGAATTAGCCTCTTCCTCCATATTTCCCAGTAATTCTATGAATCCAATCCAGCTTTACACCCACAACACTTCCTTAATCTTCTTCTCCTCCTTCTCCTCTAGCTGAGAAGGCGGCTTAAAACCAAGTCGATACTCTTTAAACAATCTAATTTCAACTATAGAGCTCGAAAAACCAAATTTCTTCAAGCCCATCAACAACCTCTGCTTATAAACTAATAGACGGAAGAAGAAAAAAATCAAACTTTTTTCACCACTGAAAGCAGAAAAGCATTCAAACCCTTGAAGAATGAGGCTGTATCAAATCCTAATCTCATCTCCATCAGAACCAAAATTCCATCAAACCCACCACATCCCATCCAAAAGCAGACCTTCCAATCAAATAATATGGACCCCGAGCACCACCAAACCCTCTAACCTCTGAAAAAACAAACTTGTTTTGGTTTCAAAGTCAAATACCACCTTCCGTAAAAGCCTGGAAATTCATACACACATAACCCAATAAACAAGTCAATAAAAATTTAAAAAACCAAAAGCCCCAAAAAAACAAAAGTGTACTCAATTATATTGAAAACGAAGAAACACCCATGATTACAACCCCATCAACCACGGAAGAGAGAATAAAAAATTTATTAAAAAAAATCATTGTGTCAAAACAATCATAAATTCACTAAAATAATACAGAATAAAATATACCCATATGCAAAATAATTAACATTCCACATAATATCACACCAAAAACAAAGTCAAAAAAATTATATTTAAAAAAGGGTAACCAATTAAAAAGTCTGAGCTGATAAGCTTACCATAAGCGATATGGCTTCTACATGATGGCGACAAATCACCATGAATTCGAATTGTATTTCACCATTTCAACATTCGATATGGGGTAATGGGAAGAAAGCTATGATCTTTGGTAGGGAGGAAAGATTTATAAATAAAATAATAATAAAAACCCAATACTCCTAGAAGATTTTTTTCTACTTTTTCCGTAGACAATTTGCTTATACGTATCGTATAAGCTGGAGCGTAGATTCCATGGACCCCGATATTTTTGGTGAGGTCTCTCTAATGGTGCGGTGAGGAGATGTGAGGTTTCAATGGGGGGTGGTGGTGAGTGGGGGCCACCAGAGCGGAAGTCAGAAAAGACGGATTTGAGAAGAAGGTGAGGTGAGAGAGAAGAGGAAGAGGAGAATTCTTTGATTAAAATAATGTAAAATGTGGGATTACATGTGTCGTTATCGGAGAGAATGAGGTACGGATGACTTTTAAAAGCCGAACGCCAGCGGGCACCGAAAGACAACGAACCTACGGTTATCTGTTAGAGCAACTCCACCGAGGCCCCCTTGCCTCGGGCTGGGGGAGTTTTTAGCAAAAATGGGTTTCCAGCGGTGAGCCCGAGCAAGGGCTGGAGTGGGTCCCACGCAACTCGGGCTGGCCCGAAGGCCAGTTCAGCCCGAGGTCCAAAACGCAGGCTGTGCTACAGTATCGCTACAGTGCCCCCACGTGCTACAGTACCGTTCATGTGATTTTTTTTCTGTTGCCACATGGCGTCGTCTGGGCTCTCCGATCTGTTTTTTCCTCCAATCCAACGGCAGCCAATTTTTTTGCAATAAAATACTAGAAAAAATTCGGAATTTTTTTTTATGGACCCCGATATTTTTGGTGAGGTCTCTCTAATGGTGCGGTGAGGAGATGTGAGGTTTCAATGGGGGGTGGTGGTGAGTGGGGGCCACCAGAGCGGAAGTCAGAAAAGACGGATTTGAGAAGAAGGTGAGGTGAGAGAGAAGAGGAAGAGGAGAATTCTTTGATTAAAATAATGTAAAATGTGGGATTACATGTGTCGTTATCGGAGAGAATGAGGTACGGATGACTTTTAAAAGCCGAACGCCAGCGGGCACCGAAAGACAACGAACCTACGGTTATCTGTTACGGTTCGCACGGACCAATTTCTCTGTACGTGCGAGGTTCGACGTGTTAAAGCTTAAAATTGTAAATCTTTTGCTGTTTGCTGTGTGATTATGTTAGGTAAAGAGCTGGAGATTATGGAACTTGCATCTAGGATTAATAAAAATAGTAATTGTGGATAAAATTTCAACTTTTATCTTGAATGCGAGGATAAATGTGTTGTATATATCTAGATTTTAGAATAGATACGCATGCAAAATCTGAAGATGGATTCCGTCATCAACCTCGATATGAGAGTAAATACTCTATTGTTAGAGTTATACATTATTAAATTGTATCTAAAAATGGATTACTTGATTTTTACAAATTTAGTGCAAAGTCTTGATTTTCTACATGTGCATTTGTAGAAAATTTACCATAATATTGTAGTTTTTATGGAGTAAATTGAAACGCAAAAGCCTAGACTCCAAAATGAAGATGAGATCATGAGAACGAGACAATGACACTTAAAGTATAGAAGTACTTTCACACTAGGATGGTTCTTTCCAATTTCCAAGCTATCATCTTTTACTTGATAAGAAGGAATATGTAGTGGATTGGTTAGAGCATTCGTAATAGACTTCCTAAGCCATATACTTAGACAAATTTTAGGGAGGAATTGGAAAAATACAACTTCAACCATGCTCCATATTTACCTCCTAAAATAGGTAGACTTCTAAATATGAGGAGAGAGAAAAGACTCCTAAAATAGGTAGACTTCTAGGAGCTCCTAAATATGAGGAGAGAGAAATGACTTCTAGTGGCTCATCCATTTCTTTCTCCTGTCAAAACAAAATTTATATTCCCATATATCCATTACGGATGGCTAGGGTGGTTCCAAAAGCGTGATTCCCTTGCCATCTATGTGGATTTCACAGCTAATACTCCTTGCAGACTTCGTTACCATAGTAAGCAGCTTGAACAATACAAATGTAGGAAGTGTTGTTGGTCCAAGTCTTGTTGGATGGTTACTTAGAGCAAAAAGGCGATTAGTAAAAGGCAAAAATCCTTGGAGCAAAAAGACGTGATGCTATATGTGTAATTTTCAGACTACTCGTGACGTGAGTAGCAACCAGAAAATCGAGCTAGGACATATGGAAAGAGAATATATATATATATATATACATATTTGTGTTAATATGGGAAATAGAAGAGATCACGAGTTTTGAAGATATGATATTTACATAGATTTGAAGAAGGAGATAAAGGAAGAAGAAGGAAAAAAAACACTCTGTTGACATAAAGTTGGAGTTAGTAAGGCTAGAGCTTTTTTTTAAAAAAAAAATTGTTAGAGGTAGATTGAGTTTTTATATTAAGGATGATGTGACGATCTGGATCCCCTGACTTGTAAATTGATTATTGAATAAAAAGAAAATGGAGGTTTAGCTTTTCTCCCTTTTACGAAAAGAAAGGAAAGTAGAAATAAATAAAATGGTCCAAATAATTAAGTATTATTGGGTTTTGTCTGCTTCTTGCTTTTGCAAGGTTTTGTTTTCTTTCCTTTTTCTTTAGGGTTTGTATTCTAGTCTTTTGTGTCTGGTTTTTGGATGATCTTGCTAGATCTGCTGCTTTTGTGGCAGATCTCGGGTAGATCTCTCTGTATTGGAGGTGGAGCTTCTGAATTTGGTGGATCTACATTTATTGTGCTTGGGGATTAAGGGAATTAGGAGATGCTGGGATGTTCTTTGGAATGTCCTAGTGGAAGTTGAGCGATTATACCCTCCACTCTTGAGGTGTTTCTTGTCCCATGAAGTTTGAGAGATTGTTTTATGTCTTGATCTTCTTTAAGTACTCGTTGCTGCAAGGATTTGGGTCCTCCTCATCTGTAACTCCTTGTTAGATGAGTTTAAAATTGTATATGTCTTTTGACAATCTTGTAATACTTGTGTTTAATTGGTGTTGTTGTTTTAGTCTCTGTATTGCAAGAACCTTCTGGATGTGTTCTTATTGTTGTAGCCGGGCTTATACCCTGTTCTTCAATGGATTCTATATTGTTTCACAAAAATAAAATAAAATAATAATAATAATAATAATAATAAAATTGTCCAAATATCCATTGAGACAAAGCCCATATATTCACATAAATCCAACCCAAGCGAATGAAATAGGATTTTGACACATTGTTGACAGGCACACGTTGGTTTACTGTAAATTGGGCCGGTCCGGAACCCAAGCAAATGAAATTGGATTTTGACACATTGTTGACAGGCACACGTGGTTTACTGTAAATTGGGCCGGTCCGGTTTTGACCCAATGAGAATCCCGGAAATGGGCCACTGGGTCCGATGGGCGTGATTTAAATGGACCAATCATATTGGTGTAATTTAATGACGCGCATGCCGTAATAATAGTGTAGAAAGTTTTTTTATAAAAAAATCAGGGGAAGTAAAAGAAAGCCTTCTTTTTTCAGGAAAAGGAAAGTAAAAGAAATATTTAAAGAGAACCCCCTTACTAGTACTAGTAGTAGAAATCCATATCCCATTCCCATACATACATATGCTGCTAACCCAGAGCTTCTTCCTTCCTGTCTGTTTTAAACCAGAATTATTTATTTCACAGGTCTGGTCTCTTCTTCAAAATCTGGCTTTGTGCTTTTTCTAATATAGTTTTACTTTTAAATTAATACTCTTCTGCACTTTAATTTATGCTCTTTTGTGTCCTATTAATTTATTATTGTATATAGATACATGTACTTGTGTTTTCTATCGAGGTGATTTAAATCTTAGCTGAAGCTTCAAATTATCATAAAATTTAATTTTGAGTATCAAACAAAATAGTGTCCGCAATTACACCATGTTTATATAATGTGTATAATCGTATCGTACAATTGGCATGACACACTAGTGTGTTTTCTATCGAGGTGATTTAAATCTTAGCTGAAGCTTCAAATTATCATAAAATTTAATTTTGAGTATCAAACAAAATAATGTCCGCAATTACACCATGTTTATATAATGTGTATAATCGCGTATCGTACAACTGGCATGACACACTAATATTTATGATTCTTCACATACCATGCTATTCGTAATTCACTTGTTATATGAGTGAGCTTGTAATAGTTAAGAGTATATCTATCATTAGACCCAATGTTCTGTGCTTGATTCCCATTCTCTATTTGTGTAAAACAAAGAAAAAGATGTTACTAAGTAAGTCAATATACTAATTGGCTTTTTTTTTTTCTCTTTTCCAGACAGATGGAGTAAAGTGAACGCTTCAGAAAAAGAATGTTGTGGTGTTCACATTGCGGAGTTCTTGTTCCTCCAATGAGAGATGATCATCAGTTTGTGTAAGCAACGCCTTATTATCTTTGCTACTTTTCAAAAGTGCTTTTTTATGAAAATTTGTTTTTCTAGATACACTTATAAAATTTTATGCCAAACGTGTACATGTGCGTGTGGCCCTTTTAGAAGCAGTCATAAACAAACCCATATCACTGCTTTTGCTTCTTCTCCTTTTGGTTTACTTCAGATCATGCAGTGGTTGTGGAAAAGTGCTTATCTATCGAGATGCCAGTACAGGTGAACCTACTTTGGTCAAAAGCTCCGGAAGAAAGGTACCATATCCCTCTTTTGGGCATCATATCCATAATCCATCTCCTGGTTATTCTCTAAGAACGTACCAACCGTGGGAACTGATGTTTTTGCTTTTTTACTTCGTTTGCAGGGCCGGAGGGCTGGCTCTTCTTTAAAATCGGTTTCAAGTGACAATTCACAGTCATTTGAAGGTCCTTTAAACGAGGGTATGCCTTAAAATTTAGCACATCAATTAATTTTCTGAACATACAAATATAAATGCAGATGTTCAAAACTATTCTCAAACTGTTTATTTCTCTCTATGTCCTGTTTTTCTTGAGATTAGGACTGTGGTCAAAACGAGCTGTCGGTGCCAATCCTGCTATGCTGCTCAAGATCAAGAAGGTTAGTCTGAGGAATTTTTTTTCGCTGAAAGCAGTAAATCTTAAATAGAACTGGCATTTTGTGTTCTAATTACATGATTATAAACATAAACACAAAACTAATTTGTTTAAGGGTCTTCTACTTTGCGGTGAATTCTTTCAAATTCAAAATTTAAACACTTGAATTTCCAGTTTGAAACCGAACTTTCTTTTGCCTTTTATCAAACAAATAATTGCTTGTTCTTCATCTGTTGGCAGCATGCTCCTAGTTCGAGGAAAAAGTCCAAGGCAATAATAATTCATGCTGGTGATGCCAAAGGACAAAACCCTCTCACCATAGAGCATGAATCAGACATCACTGAAAATGACTTCAAATTGAGGCAGGATTATGAAAATGTTAAAGAGGGAGGTGATGGAAGGCTAGCAAATTATAAATCGCCCGTTCCGAATCAAGAAAATATTCATGAATCTACCTATGATGCTGATGATGATGCTGATTGTGATTAGGGATGTTGGATGTTTAATGTGTCTTATATGCAACTGTGTTAGGCTGCTCATACATCTGTGCGAAAATCATGTTCCATATACCAAGCAAGTGTTAATTAGTAATAAAATGAAATTTCATCAAACAGAGCATGTTTTCTTAGGAACAAAAACTCCCCATGTTCTTGATTGAAGAAGTTATTATGTTAAAACTTGTGCCTCCATCAGCAAGAAAATGTGTAAAAAGGTAAAAGAATTACAATTGCTCCCTCTTGAACTTTTTTTTATTTTTATTTTTCTGAAGCAGAACTGTTGTTTTGCAGTAGCTTACAGTGGGCAACAACAGATTTCATATCCATTATTACTAATTAGATGATCTTCTCTCCTTTACATATATAGTATACATACACTAAGCTCAGAAGTATTAGAAACTTTACTATTTCAACACGATCAAAGCAAGCAGATGAACCAAAAAAACTTGCTTAAAATCACACAACTTCAACTACTGTGATGCAATAACTGTTAGGCAGCATCTCCAGCAAATCTACGGTTAACATGGATTCCTTCAGCTTCGGCCGCAACCTGCCAGAGTTTCCCACTGACAAAAGTGGTGTTGATGTTGTTCTTTTGCAGGGACTGAGCCATTTAGCTTGCATGTACTTCTGCTTCCTCCATGGCCCCATGTGCATTTTCTTCTCCTTCATGCATTTCTTTGCAGCTGAGCATAAGATTTTAATTAGGTTTTGTAGTCTCTCAACTTTGCCAACAAACACTTCAGGAAGCCGGTTCACCAGATTATTGTATTCATTACTTGCTCTAGCCATCTCGAACTCTGCTCTGAAGTTGAGTTCTATAATCACCCTCACCTCTCCTTTCTTAGGGTTTGAACCGTCCACAACATCAATAAATGTGTGCTCTCCTGAACAACAATGAAAACAAAGGCATCATTAGCATCTTAACCTTGGTTCGACTGTGAATCTGAGTCATTGGTCATATAGATTTTTGTTTGAATGTGTGATATCGAGATACTACCTACCTTATTCAATTGCTCTATTTTTCTTTTTATCTATATATATAAAGCAAAAGATAAAGAATGGTAAAACATTCAAAATACTAGAAAATGCGCTTGGTTAATGCAAACATTAATAATTGAAAGTATTAATTAAATGAGGATAATATGGTAAATTCACACTTTTTCATATTAGAAAAATTAAAATTAAAAAACAAAATCAGATAATAGATCATATTTTTATAAAACACAACTACCCATTATCTTTTTTTAAAAAAAAACCTTTCGCATGCGCGGAAGAGCGTGCGAAGAGGCTAGTCTTATTTATTAAAAAAAGAAAAAAGCCCAAAGGGGCTGTACGTGCTAATTATAGAAGACATTAAACATTTGTGTGCAGACTAAAATTATTTTAGGTAGAATGTCAAAAAAAGAGCAAGGTAGGTCAAAAAGAAGGTGTGTGATGGGATATATTGTATTAATTAATTAGTGAAGTATTTAAATTATATATTTAATCTGTTTTTACCTGAAGGAATATCCGGCGAACTCCTCCACTTAGACTTGCAGATGGCACTGTTGTAACCAGCATTGCAAAGCCCGCCGGAAACTTCTCTCATGAGGCAGCTCCGGCAACCGCTAGCCATCGGTTTCCCGCAGCCACACTCTGTCCCTTCCCTATTTATCTCCTTAACCGCTTCCTTTGTCACACTCCTAATACTCGTCTCTAGAGAACTAGTCCTGCACAAGGTCACCTGCAAAACACGTAACAAATACTTAAGTTGTCAGACTCTAGATCAAGGTTATAAATTATCAAACAAGTTTGATAACATAACATTTTCGTATTATATATACAAATGCGTATGCGTAAACAATTACTTGTAAAAGCTGGTGCTGGTTTTCCCAAAACCTCCTGTCCTTCTCCTCCTGATCTCCAGCTTCTTCTTCCTCTTCATCTAACAAGAAGGCTTCATTTTCTTGGCTTCCATCGCTGCTGCTGCTACAGCTTTCCCGGAATTCTTGACAATCCTCAAGAAACCCGAAAACCATGCCGGAAAAACTCGCCGCCAGTAATTGTCGAGCGGTGGCAGGAGTTCTAGCCATTTAAGGATATCCCACGCTACTAGTAATTTCTAGCTGCTACACAGATGGTGTGAGCGTATTGGCATGAACAATGTGAGGAATAACATTGGGCTTAAATACCAAAACCAAAGTTTGGATGATGGTGGGGCCCACTAGGCCAACATGGACTACAAGCCGCCGCGCCCGCGCACATGAAGGGGGACGCTATTTACCAACGTGGCTTGATCCAATTCGGTGAGGTAAATCGAAGCGGTTCGGTTGTTTTTGTAGAGATTGGGCCGGACAGCAGGGATCCACGTAAGGCACGTCCAATAATTGCAACAATCTATCTGGATATACTCGAATATCAAGCTTCTGTTTTTTATTTTCTATCTCAAATGTTTTATAAAATAGTTGCAGATGCATCTCTATCATGATCTTGTGAGTGGTGGGACCATCAGGGCTGGAATGATTGAGATGACACGATGTTTGTTAAGTGTCTTAGATGTTGCAATTTGGATCGATCAGAGCCGTTGATGCTCGAGCCCTATCCGATTAGCGGGGCCTACCTGTCGCTCAACCGACCCATTATTAGTACCTTCTAGTTAATATCGTAATTTCTGAATGTCTTTCGCAAGATTAACATTAGATATGAGAATGTCACGAATACGCGGCGTCTTGGCCTCGCCAATAATAATAATTCTCTTTTAAAGCGATTTTAGGCTAATTAAAATTCATCTAAACACTGAAATTAGTGCTTGATTAAATAATAATTCTCTTTTAAAGCGATTTTAGGCTAATTAAAATTCATCTAAACACTGAAATTAGTGCTTGATTAAATAATAATTCTCTTTTAAAGCGATTTTAGGCTAATTAAAATTCATCTAAACACTGAAATTAGTGCTTGATTAAATAATAATTCTCTTTTAAAGCGATTTTAGGCTAATTAAAATTCATCTAAACACTGAAATTAGTGCTTGATTAAATAATAATTCTCTTTTAAAGCGATTTTAGGCTAATTAAAATTCATCTAAACACTGAAATTAGTGCTTGATTAAATAATAATTCTCTTTTAAAGCGATTTTAGGCTAATTAAAATTCATCTAAACACTGAAATTAGTGCTTGATTAAATAATAATTCTCTTTTAAAGCGATTTTAGGCTAATTAAAATTCATCTAAACACTGAAATTAGTGCTTGATTAAATAATAATTCTCTTTTAAAGCGATTTTAGGCTAACTAAAATTTATTTAAATACGTGAAATTAGTTATTGATCTAATAACATTTCTCATTTAAAGTGATTTTAGGTTCGGATTCAATTTTTTAATGGTATACGCAAATATTAGATTTCTGAAGTTCAACCTGTCATTAATTTTTTTAAGCTAATACAGAACTCATGATGAAACAAAAGCTATTTTATTAATTGTGGCTGCATCAGTCTTAAGTATATTAGACCTAACACACATGCGAGAGGAAAGCTAAGAAAAAAAATTATATTAATCTTACGTACCTAATATTGGTCAAGTTAGGCATCGGTGTCGGCAGGTAGGTTAATTAGGTCTTTTTGGTAAAAATATCACAAAAAAGATTCTAATCCTTTCCAAACATGAACTAAACTATTGTCTAAGCATTGTTGCTTTTGTTTTAAATGTTCATACTCTTCTATTATATTATGTCTAGTTTTGTGATTGTTATCCCAACAAATATCTTTTCCGCATCCTCAATGCTAATCTTTTAATCTTCTTTAGATTAAACAAAAGCTCTACAATAAGTATGTTTTTTTATATGAGAAAGAGGAGATCCGAATTTGAAACATTTTTCACAAGCACTCATCTGTAATTAATAAAGTTTTTTTTTTAACGAGGGAAAAGCGATAGTATTTTATTGATATTATTTTGTTTATTGGTGCATAGACTATAGTCATTGTTTATTAATTGTCTATGACTCTATGATGATGCCATCTTAGTTAATTAAACCTAATAATACGTTGGCTATACCTTAAACACACAATAAGAAACAAACTCGGAATCTAATTTCACTAAGAATGCAGATACCAATTAACATTAATTAGTCACTTTTTCCCTTCAAACTGTATAATTTATAGTTGCTATTTTGTTTTCAGTCAATCACTTCCCATTAATTTATCATGCCAAGTTTGACCCATTCAACATATAGACAAGATTAAACCACCTGATCAATCTACAAGTTACAGGTGTAAATATATATATATATATATATATATGTATGGATTTGGACAATAATACTGTATTGAACATGTGTGTGGAGCCTTTGGATAAAAGCTTTGCTCGAAAAGGGATAAGACCAACATAATAGAAGATGCCAGAAGAGAAGGTGACATTTTGGCAACCTTGAATTGGAAACAGTGTGTTAGCAAATCGATCATTTCATTTTCATGGCATGTGTTCAACATGCTTTTGTTAACCTGTCCCAGATCGATCTGTACTTATTATCCAAAACATGCATAACACATATGCCTGTGTTTATCTGATTTCTTTAATGCCATGATTGTGTTTGAAGATGATAAGACCATTAATCAATCTGATCAAGGATCTGATCAGCCTAGCTAGCTTGCCAGGTAGGATCGTTATCTGCTATAGCTTTGTTCAAATTGGAATGATCTGGTCTAATTAGGTCAGCTTAAGACAGAGAAGGGTTTGGTTAATTTGGCATGTCCACTTGAAACCCGAAAACCATGCCGGAAAAACTCGCCGCCAGTAATTGTCGAGCGGTGGCAGGAGTTCTAGCCATTTAAGGATATCCCACGCTACTAGTAATTTCTAGCTGCTACACAGATGGTGTGAGCGTATTGGCATGAACAATGTGAGGAATAACATTGGGCTTAAATACCAAAACCAAAGTTTGGATGATGGTGGGGCCCACTAGGCCAACATGGACTACAAGCCGCCGCGCCCGCGCACATGAAGGGGGACGCTATTTACCAACGTGGCTTGATCCAATTCGGTGAGGTAAATCGAAGCGGTTCGGTTGTTTTTGTAGAGATTGGGCCGGACAGCAGGGATCC